CCACCCCAGTGAACACATATTCTTGTGCTTTTTCCTTTGTATTTAGTAGCCCCGAAGCTGCTGGGCAGAAGCAGTTGATCAATATTATAATTTATTAACGGTCTGTTTGGTTCATAAATTTGAACGTAAAAATTTGAACAAAAATTTAAATTTTGTGAGAGGAACGCTGTAGCAAAAATTAGTCAATTTAATTTAAACCTATGAAAAGTAATACTTTCTTTCACCTTATAACACATTTAAATTGTATGAAATAATATAATAATCAAACAAAAAATAAGTTCGCAATAACAACAAACTAATGTAACTTGGATTCCACCTCCTAGTTGGCCTGTCTTGTAACTTTTGTTGCTTACCTAGTATTCTTCTAATATAAAAAGGCTGTTAACCTAGCTAGATTAATGGTTTGGAATTAACTTTCTGTTTTTTTTTTAGTGAATATTATTACAAAATTTTAAATAATCACGTGAAGGAATGTGATTATCTTCCTCAACTTATTTCAAAATCTATCGTCAATTTTTAGAATTATGGATCAAAATTGTCAAAATATAAATTTAGGGACAGCTACTATTTAGGACATCATTAAATAAAAGTACACATTTTTACGTAATTAAGCATCCTTCTCGTTTTGCGTGTTAGAATTAGTTATTTGATTTGATGATGAGAAAAAAAAATTAAAAACTAATGGGTTGTTTGCTTCCTGAGTTAAAATCATATGATTTAAATTTAAATTTAAATTTTTATGACAAAAAATACTGTAACATAACCGTTTGTGGTTCAAACTCCTCTACCAAAAATATACTAAAAACCCACTAACATAAAAACTGGATGAAAGATTTTTTTTATTATTTTTTGTAGAAGGAAGAAAGAATTTGTTATTTGACTATCAAGCCGCCAAGCTCAATAATTTAGACTGTATAGAGTCATTAAATAAAAGTACACATTTTTAAGTAATTAAGCATCCTTCTCGTTTTGCGTGTTAGAATTAGTTATTAAGCATCCTTCTCGTTTTGCGTGTTAAAATTAGTTATTTGATTGGATGATGAGAAAAAGAAAAAATAAAATTAAAAACGAATGGATGGTTTGTTTCATGAGTTAAAATCATATAATTTGAATTATAATTTAAATTTTTATAACAAAAAACACTATAACAGAACCATTTGAACTGTAGTTTAAACTCCTCTACCAAAGATATACTAAAAACCCACTAACCTAAAAACTGGATGAAAGAATTTTTTATTTATTATTTTTTGTAGAAGGAAGAAAGAATTTGTTATTTGACTATCAAGCCGCCAAGCTCAATAATTTAGACTGTATAATGTCACCAAATACATTATTATTATTTTTTTTCAACTTGGATTCCCCAAATACATTAGCATTCATGCGTTTGTTTGTAGAATTAAAACATCCAATAAATTAGTGGAATAACTTGCATATTAAAATGATAAAATAAAACTGAAACAAGATAAGAAAGGAAATTAATCAACTAACACGAGGTAACTTACAAGGCACGTATCGTAAGAGTTTCATAAAAGAACAATTCTGAACGTACGTGTGCTTGAAATTAAGGAACTAAACTATTCCAATTTGTAACTGTTTTAAATGTGAATAATTCCAATATAGTAATTATACTTGATCGTGGGTCATGTGAGATCTATTGACATTTTGAAAGCTGGAAGTTATATATATATATATTATTGTACATTTGACTAAGTTTAAGTCAAATAATCCAAGGGCAGGTAAGCTAATTCCATCTCATGAACTCCAAAATTATATATTAGCTTAATTTCTAAAAGATATAAATATTGCTAATTATTGCATTCTTGAACACTATAATCTTACAAAATCACATAGTCGAGACCACCATAAGGTTGTGGACTCTCGATCAAGAGTTTGATCACAAGGTTCAGTTTTTTCAATCAGAAATCAAGACTTTTGAGAGCAATCATTTTTCTCTTTATATATATATATATATATATATATATATATATATAAAGTATTGCTCTAGTAAATTACTAAACAGTTTCCTAATATCCAAATACGAGATTTTTACAGCAGGGTATGAAAAAACATCTTACTTATAGGGTTTTCTTTTAAATTGTTAAATTTGTATGTTAGTTTTGCATACTTTTTCATTTTGATATGAGTTTTTAATAAGAACTCGCATTCAGTATCATGCACTACTGTATACGGATAGATAGGATGTAGTAAAAGCTGATCCATGCAGGAAACACATAACATTAAAAAAAAAAAAAAAAAAAAAAAAAAAAAAAAAAAAACCCCTTAAACTCAAGAATTTGTAAAATTGTATGGCGAGGCAAGAAAAGAAAATACGTAATTACCAAGAAGTAGTAACGACTCGGGAAGGGCACCAAGGACATGAAAAGCACTAGCACCAAAAAAACCAGGACCAAGAATCTTGAAAATCCTCTCACTCCCTTCGGCTAAATAGGACTCTCCATGGAAGAGCAGGTATTCGTAGACGACTATGAGAAAAAGGTGGCCGAAAATGTTGTCGGAACACGGCAAGAACCCGTACATTTGTTCGCACTTATGCTCCTCTGATGAATAATAATACAATTCAAATTCTCTAGAAGGGAGCAATAAGAGGGAGGAGTTTAATTGGTCCTGCTGACGGCGAACATGATCGTGACCATCAATACCGTCTGAAACCAAGTCATCGTCGAAAATAATAGCCCGTGGAAGAGAACGGCCGGCGCTGTCGACGACGACGGCGACGATGAGGATATGAAGAAGAGCCAGAATGAAGCGTGATGTCTTGGTGGTGATCATTATCCTCATCACTCTAAGAGCCATGAATGTGAAGCCCTTAATTAGGGGAGTTTTTTTTTTTTCGTTTCATGTATATGTTTTTGAATTGAAAGGTCAATTTTATACTAGTTATTAAGGAAATGTCAAGCAATATAATATAGGAATATTTATGCATGCATATCTAGTCAAATCATTAATTTTAGTGGGTTAGGTATTCATAATTACTATTTGGCCAGATGTTTAGATAGACAGTTAATCCAACAAAATGATTAAATTCACATAATCACCTCTCAGCAAAAATATAATAATAATAATAATAATAATAAAATTCACAAAATCACATAAAACAAAGTTAAGTATATATAACAAAGACATAGATGTCGTGTGCACACATGCACCCTGACAGCCAAAAATTCTCTCTTATAGTCTTATCATTGTTTTTGTTTCAGACGAAGGTGGGGACTCGATTTCTTCACTTTGCTAATAAAAATTCTGTTAAGAAAAGAGTAGAAAATTTTCAATTTTTTTTTATGTTATGTATATTATATACTAACCTAAACCTAAATAATTTTTTTTCTTTGACTAAATAAACTACTTTTCATATATATATATATATATAAACAAAAGCTTAACTAGTTACCAATTATAAACATAGCTATTTTTTTTTAAAATAACAAATAAACTTCTTAATTAGCATAAACAAGTACTATCTCTAAGAGAAGATAAAAAGGCGAGCGAGAACGGCGGCGGCAGCAGCGGTGATAGCGACAAGCGGCTGTGAAAAGGTGGAGACAAGAGAAATGGTAAAAATGCGACAATATGTGAACAATGGACGTAGCAAATGGCGAAGGCAAGTACAAAGGTTGCAACGAACTATGAAAGCGGTGACACCTTCGACGATAAAAGCGATGCACGGCGGTGGTCTGCGTTTGGACATCAACTAGATTTCTCGAGGGCTGAGTATGGGTTTATTGATACATATAACGACGGTTTTTGCATGATCATTATCTTATCAGGCTTAAAAATGTCTGAAACATGTGTATGCCGTCTTATTTTCGCGCACATCACAAGTCGCTTTTCCTAAAAACATCGTTAAATCTATATGTATTATAGTATAGCGTGGAGCAAAAATTATGTTGGTTCATTTGCTCCCTTTGCTAGCTCTATTATTCTCTTATATGAATTAATAGAATTTTCTTGAACATGTTTTTTTTTTTTTTGGGTCTCCCGTGACTGTATAAAATCGCACAGTATATCCTTCGTGAAAGATATGATCAGAAACTCCAAAAGTGATCTTTGCTTATTGATGAAGACTCACATCCCATGGAACCTTGTGAATTAATGAAGTGGTTTGTCATTATGTAGATACAAAGGAATATATATATATATATATATACATATGTTTTATTATAGGGTCGATGTATATATTCAGCGAACATGAAAAATTATGTATATGTCACAGACAAATTAATACACGCATTGCAAACATTACTGATAAACATGCTTTGCTGGAAGACAGGACTGAAAAAATACTTGAGTGCAATTGACACAAATAAAAAAATAATTTCCAAATTTTTACAGTAGTACTAGATTATCAAGCTTATTGTTCTTTGACTTTGGCATTCGACTCTCTGAGATTCCTCTCATCGGATAGTAATTTTGCAAACCTGCAGCAATTGCCAATTAGCATTAGAAAGGGTGAAAAAATAGTTATAAAAAGAGACATATAAGTAGTGATCGATGCGATATTTATTGTTTACATTTTTTTTATCTTAATAAATTCTATACAATTAAGCTTTCTACCATATATAGCTCTTAATATAGCATTAAGTAACAAATAATATTTTGGAAAATTGGGGAGGAAACTTTATTATAGTAGATAATGAATTATTATATCAAGATTATAGTACAAATAATGAATTATATCAAGATTCAAAATTTGAAGAAATTTTGATCGGTTAGAGAGAACAAGAGGAAAAAAAGAAAAAAGAAAAGAAAAAGAAAGAAAAAAGGTTATTTGAGTATACACAAGTACCTTTGGAGTGCTTCCTCATTGGTACCACCATTTTCAATATGTTCATAGATACCAGTATCTAAATTTTGGCGTGAAACTGGTTTTTTCAGCAAAGATTGACCAACTTCCACTAATTTCTGTAAGTTCTCATCAGTAGCTATATCAGCGGATGCTAAATCCCCTTTCAGTGTATCCTCCTACATATGTATTAATAATGTTCATTTAGCTAGCAAGACATAGAAATGTATTAAAAACTGTTTAATCCAAAACGAGCTCCCAAAATATGTCTTTTTTGTTTTTTTCCCTTTTTTTGAGAATAGAAAAGTATTGGTCTCTTAACCTTTCTCAAAATATATGTATATATACTATGTATAAGTAACAAACAAAAACCAAAATAATTTTAGATTTACCTCTTGTCACAAAAAAAAAAAAAAAAGTTTTAACAAAAACATTTAAATGTGGGCAGTTTTATCATTTTATGTTTAAGAAACGCATAAGGTACCCAAGTGATATATATATATATATATATATTAAACATTAATAGGATTAAATTAAATTTCCGGGTATCAGAATGATATTTTCTTGTAAAATGTTTTTTTTTTTAAAAAGTGAAAGGAAACTTACATTAACCCGGAGGTAGCTATTTTCAGAATGAAAGGCTTGAAAAACGACACAGTTATGGAAATCAACCATATCTGCACTGGCTTCCATGTAAGAATCTATAATGGGAGTTGATCCCTTGTTATATATCCAGTCTAGCACTCCCCACTTTGTTGCCTTTTTAGAATCGTACTTTTTCTCACTCCTGTTTGAACCTGTCCCTATTGAGATTACTAGAAAACGGTTGTAATCCATCGGCTTATTTGGGTCAAAGTCTTCGTTCTTCCAAATAATCTGTTTGGTTACTTCACTGATAGCAACCAAAGCCTGCAAGCAATAATACTCATCGTAAGATAAATAGTTACATATATATATATATATATACACACACACACACACTATAAGTAGTTACAAAAATATATTTTATTCGTGAGTGGTACCAGATAGTTATATATATATATATATAAGTAGTTTCAAAAATATATTTTATTCATAAGTGGTACCTTATAGTATTGCTCTAAATTAAAACATCCAAAGTGTTTGAAAAACCTTTAAAAGAACAGGGATAAAGATTCCTAAAATAGTAAAAATTATCGAATTGATTAAAAAAAAGACCTTATGTATAAATTATATTAATTTTTTGATAAAAGGATTGTGCCGGCTAGAGAAAGGGAAAGAAATTAAATTAGTCAGGGTCCCTTAGAATATATTTGGATTATTAATTAAAACTAAACGCAATAAGGAAAGGAAAATGAGAGAAAAAAAAAAGAAAAAAACGAGTTTCAAATTCAAAAAAAAAAAAAGAGGAAGGAAATGAGAATCATCACCCTAAGTTTTAAGTCCAATTCCTTACCCCAAAAAAAAAAAAGAAAAAAAAAAAAAGACATTCATGCATCTTATAAAACTAAAAATATAGATTAACTTGAAAAGAAAATATTACCGGGTTATTAGCAGCAATAGCACCATCTATGAGATTGTATTCTTTGTCTTGGATTTTAAAATAATAGGAAGGAAAGTAGGTTGGGGCTGCGGAAGTGCTTATACAAATGTCTGAAAGTTTGGCTTCCGATTCTGTAGAGCTCCTTGTCTATAAGCCACGTAATTCCAATTTCATTACAGTCAGATCAGAGAGGAAAAATATAAACACAATACACTATATATATAATATCAAGATCATATGTATGAAACAATATTATTAGAATTGTGCGTTACCTTATGAGATATATATCAGCTTACTCCAAGAAGGAGATTATTTGTAAACATTTTTCAAGAATTACTTCAGATGATTATTAAGCACTACATTAACTAAATATTAATTGCACCAATGCTACATAGGTAACAGGTTTAAGGTTTGGCACTATTAAGAGCTATATCAACTCAATTTCCCGATACTTTGGTCGTGGACGGTTTTAGAAGTAAAAGTTTAGGCCGCCAGACTCAAATAGAAATTTCGAGTTAGGCTTAAATGGGAGAGAGAAAGCCCAGCTTAAAAAATTTAAGATTGAGTCGAATATGAATTTTATAAGATATTTTTTTAAAAACTATTTAAAATGGTGGTGTTTGCCCAGCTCGAATGAACTTTTGAGCTCAAAACTTTAGCCCGACTCAGAGGTCAGGGTTGAACCCAGGCCAACAATGGCGGGTTTCGGGCCGGCTCAAACCTACAACTCTAGTTGATCGACTATGTTGTCGTCTCAACCCTGACGATAATCCTGTTTCGTTGACCCAAACCTCAATGGGCAATCACGATCCAGCTCTCGTATCAGTCCCAACTCGTCGGCCCAACCATGACCCAGCTCGATCTTGGTACCGGTCCAACCCCATCAGTCTAATATAGCTTACTGGTGTCTACTACAATTTTCAATTATCTTTTTAATTAACAGAAAAGGATAACATGTTAGGGACTAACGACACATTTTATTGAAAGTTCAGGAGCTAGAGATACAATTTTCAAAAGATTTAAGGATGCCAAACAAAACTTCAAAAAGAAATCAAGTGCATATATAACAGGAGTACCTGGTAAGAAGAAAATATAGTTGGTTGGAGTTTCTTGAGATCAAAAGTAGGAATAACCACGTTTGTCAAAGTCTGTTGCAATCCTGTTTGCCCTAATTTCTCTCTTACTAACTTCCGAAGATACTTTCCATTATACTTGGGTCCTATTAGTTCTTTCACGAAATCAACAACCGAAGCAAACGGTCCCCTATTTATAATATACATTTTTTTTAATACAAAAAAAAAAGAGAGCAAAAAAGAAAAGTTAGATATCATGCAATAATTCGTATGTTTCATTTTGATAACAATTCGATATATTGATATATAGCGTTGATCTCACTTGTACCCTTAAATTTTAAGGTCATTTTCAATTTGTCTCTTAAACTTTAAAAACTCTAATTTTATCTTTAAATTATGAATTAGTCTCACTTAATCTCATTTTTTTTTTATTATAAGTCCTAGTAAAAGCATATAGTAAAAAAGAGATTAAATGTTGTCATGTCATTTTTTCTGTTATTTTTAACAGAAATTCTAATAAAAAGACAACATAAAGATATTACCTTCTTTTTTCTAGTTTGTTTTTAGCATAAACTTTAATAGAGGAGGTTAAATGAGACTAATTTAAAATTTAAAGGGTAAAGTGAGAATGATCTTAAAATTTTATAATACGGGTGAGAATAATCACACACATATATATACATACATATATATATATATATGTATATATACACACACAGATAATACCTTGTTTGTGGGAAAATTTTAGGACCATGCTCAATGTAAAATGGTACAATATCTTTGGCAGAAAACAAAGGCCTGTTGTTGGCGTCTGGTGCTGCTAACATGGCTGTAACAAGACCACCAGTGCTCGTCCCTGTAATTACGTCAAAGTAATCTGCAAGTCTTACATCTTCACCATCTAGCTCCTATATATACATATATACATCATGACGTTTAGACTTATAAACTCAGTACATCTAGTAGGCACACAAAAGTATTAGCCAACACTTGCACCCTGTAAGATTTTCAATCATACTCCGTCCTTTTGTTTTACCAAACTGTTTTCTTTTTCTTTTTCTTTTTCTTTTTTACGTGAATGATAAGAGATGATAACATGATACGTATCAGAAACAACTACTTAGCTCGTCCATCTTAATTAAGTTGGCTTTCATTCAATGATGAATCATCTATTATCAATCCCTGATCAACTCTCTAATTTATTAAGAAAGAAAAAAAAAAGAGTAAATATATATATATATATATAATATCTTTCAAATAAAGGTCTTTTTTTTTTAAAAGAAAAGGAACTAGCTTGCAGTAGTTTTTGAAGAATTTAGTAGATATAGGACTTATTTGGCATAGCTTTTGTTTTTACTTTTAAACAGTAGGAAAAAAAATACTAAGTCAACACTTTTTAATTACTGCTTGGATAATAAATGTAAATAAAAAGGCTTTGTACGTGTGATTGATAGTTGTTATCCCTATCATGGAAGCCTTTGTATAACATAGCCATGTAATAATATAATATTTATTCACACACACACACATATATATATATATATATATATATAATATAATTTGACCCCTTAGCTAGGATATATGTCTTACTCTTACCTGAAGATGAGATTCAAGGAAATTAAGAATAACTCCAGGGATGATTCCTCTAATACCTCCTCCATCTATACTAAGAATTGTTATAACGTTTCCATATTTTGGAGGTAATTTTTGGACTCTTGAGGATTTGCCTTCCATTATTAGTGAATTCTAAAAAGAAATTAGACGTCAGAAGGAAGATCTATTAAAAGGGCTTGAAGAGAGGCTTATGTTTTGAATAATGATGGATTAGCTAGTGATTACAATGGCATTATATAATGGCCAAGCGTGCGTGCTTATGGAGAACAACAAAATATAATTACATATACGCACATGACAGAATTGCAACGCCAAATAAATAAGGGATTAAAAAAATTGAATTAATTTTGTGCAAATACCTGAGAGCTCCGGGTGACGTGCTAGCTACTCTTGCACGATTTGTATTCTATAATCCGTCGAGAGGTGCACGAATGATCAAGGGGGGAAAAAAAAAGTTAATTTGTAAGTCATTTCATTCTCTTTGTTGAGAAATGAGTGTTAAAAGGAAGAAAGAAATTATAATAGCTCGATCTATTTTGTTGAAATTATACAAACCAATTGGTTTATAGGTTTGAAGAAATTCAAATTTTTCTTAAAGAAAATACTATAATAAAAATGTATAAATGGTTTAAATTTATGAATTAAACAGGAGATCAGTCTTTTTAAACCACGTATATAAAACTACAATATGTTAAACAATAGAACTCCCCTTTTTTTTTTTAAGCTTTTTAATGCTTTTACTCTCTATATTTTTTGTAAATTGTGAAGTTACCTCTCAATTTTCAGTTTGGAAAATTGACCCATAATTTTTTTAAGTGTTATAGAGGAAAATCCTATATCAATGAAAGATTTTAACATTTTGACAGAAACGCACTCATTCACATGTTGAGTCATCGATTTAAGTGCACTTGACAATACAGTATCAAGTTCAAAAGGTAATTTACCAAAATTGAAAGTGGCCGTTTAGTTCGCTGATTTAAATTTTTAATTTGAGTTGAGATATAATTTTATGTGAGAACTTTTTACTGTACTAAAAAAGTTAGATGTGACTGTATCTAAGAGCTTTTTACTGTAGTAAAACTCAAATTCTAAACTCGAATCGGTGAAATGAACGAGGCCTAAAAAACGTAGAAAAAGTTAATAAGCGTAGATACTTCCAAATATATATATATATATATATAATTTTTTTTCTATCTTTCATCTATTTGATTCCCACCCCAAGTATATCGGTTAATGTAGAATATCAAACAACTCGTCATTGAGTCAAGTTCATATAGTAACATCAATACACCATCAAGTTTATTTTGATGGGACATTTATATAAATATATCGTGCATTTTAAGTTTTACGGAAAATGTACCATGTATTTGAATGTCATCAAATATATACCAAAATATTTTTAAGTGTTTATTAAATCTACTATAAACTGGTCAACACAATTTATTAGAGAACAATATTAAGCACAATAATTGAATTAAAATGAGCAATATGAAAATGTAAGTATTTGACGTCGTTAGTTAAACATCTTTTGAATGGATAAGATGATTTTGAACACACCACCCTCACAAAATGAAATAGAAGTCCTAATGAAGAGGACCTTAAAATATAACTAATTTATTTTCTTGAGGGAAAAAAAAAATCTAATGGACCCCTGAAAATGATTAATATCCGTCACCAGACACAGAGAATAAATTCAAAGGAGAAAGAGAGAAATAGGTCAAGACTTGAGATGAATTAAAATTAATAGGCCAATAGTTTACATAAGTTAATAAATAGGCCAAATTATTGTTTTCGTCCATAACTTGTATGGTTATGAACCATAACTTGACAAGTTATTGTCCATAACTTGTCTGACTATGAACCATAACTTGACAAGTTTGTTCATAATTTATCTGGTTATGAATCATAACTTGACAAGTTATGGCCTATTAATTTTTATAACTAAAAATTGACTTATATACTTTCTTAAGCTTTTCATATTGGCTTATTTTCTACTATTTTCCTAAATTCAAAGGACGTATCATGTGCGAATTTATTCCTTTCGAGAAAACTCTCTTTCTCTAGTAATATTTTACTCTTCAAGTCTTAGATAAAATGTGTTTGACCAGAATAACAAAGAACTTTAATGTTAGAAGCAATTACATACAGATGTTGATCTCATCCCATTGATGCGTGGAACATGATACATTTCTTATTTTTCTTTCTCGAGTCAAATTAACATTTTTGTTCAAGAAAGTGCAATCTAAGACGTTATTTAAAAACAATATGTATACCTTGGAACTACCAAAGTACAAAACCAAAGTACAAAACATTGTCCTTCCTTCCCCACTCAATAAATATTAAAATAATTCTTATAAATCTTTTTTCTAATATATTGATGCGTTTACGAGTTAGAAAATTGCATTGCTTGATTGCTTCTGTTTGTTTCCATTTCAAAACGATTGAGAGGATGGAGGAAAAATAAAACCGCACACATTTATTGAAGAGAGAAATGCGTTGCTTTTGAATGTCAAAAGACGTGTGCATACGAAATTACTAACCTTTAAATCCAATAATATTTTTCGTAGACAATTAAATAAATATATGCATATAGCACGTTCTGATTAAAAACAAAAAACTACTAAAAATATATATTTTTTTAATATATGAAAGCACTTATCCGAAGCGGTTAGGGAGTCGGCGGGTTGTTCACAATATGTGTTCTGCAATTGCTCGGTCACCGGAAGCTAATATCGTTGAAGATATTCGTGATCTTATTATTTCTCAAGTTAAAAGCTGCAATGTTTGCTCCAGATCTGACATTATTTCGAAATAAAATTTTATGATCAAAATTCATACGCGACCAAGTATTCTATATTAAGTTGATTTTATAGTACACCAGTATAGACCAAGTATTCTATATTAAGGAAATTTTCCAATATACTAGTATACCGGTAAATCAAGATTTTTCTAACCATTAGATCATCGTACTTTTTGATTTTTACGTGATTTTATGCAGATCCAACAATTAAAAAATCTGACTTACCGGTATGTTGACGTATCAGAAAAGATCTATATATTAAGCAAATGTCATAAAACTCTTAACTATAATTAGGGACTTTTTCTGATAAGCTGCTCTATCGGTAATCTTAATTTTTGATTGTTAAATTTAATCAAAATCACATAAGATTAAAAAAATATGCATATACAGATCTAACGGCTAAAAAGTGAAGAATTACCGGTAGTCCATTTTTATAAAGACTACTAGAAAAAGTCACCCATAATTAAACATTTAATAAATTTGCATGAAGTGCTCATATGTGGATGATATAATTTCAAGACTAGTATAAAATTATTTCACAGCGCAACTGTTTTAAACTTTTATTTAAAAAAAAAAAAAAAAAAAAAAATCATGTCGCTGCGCTATACAAATTTTTTGCATCAAAACTTACACTTTTTGACATGAAAACCTTCATGGATATTAAGCACGCAACGCATGACTTGTAGTTTGTTGTTCGAATAATTTCATTACCTACCGAGAAGCAAACTTCAAAACCATATCAAAATAGAGAAGAGTGTTCTTGAGAAAACTGCAATTGTCCTCAACTTTTCCAAAGCAAACTGCTTCTTGGTTCTTAAATATGAATGAAAGTATGTTACAAAATATAGTGTCTAAGATCTCATGTAAAGCATATGAAGCACACAAAGAAACCAATAGCAATCACACCGTTAAAACATAATGCAGGAAACAAACATATGGTGAGTAGCTTCCCCCGTTGATGTGCAATAGCCCGCTTAGGAGTCGGGTAGTCTCATCACCACTTCCGCTGGTGGCCGCAAAGTGCATACCATTTCTTTCGTTTTGCCAAAGTAAACCTGCAAGGCGTAAGTTTGAGTAACTCGGACCGACATTATTTTTTGTTTTAAAATGGGAATAACTGCCACAACTGTACAGTCGTTTTAAATACTCTCTTCCATGGAGAAACATCAAAAGCTAGAATAAGACAGACAATATCTATAGAAGAAACAAGAAAGGAAACACTATACCTGATCGAGTGAGTTTCTAAGCTTACTCTCCATTTCTTCTATCATTCTGCCCATGTTACAAATATGGCCCTCTTGAATCGGGAGGTCCATATTCATCTATAAAATAGGAAAAAGAAATAGTAAGACACTTAATTTCACTCCCTGACAATGTCATAAAAGTAATCATATTGATGCACTAACAAAGTAGAAAACTCCAGTTTATGATTCAACCGTGTACTTGTCACTTTTTAGCTCTCCAAATTCCCAAAATATATATACAAAATCAGCAATGAACTTGACGTGAAAATTTTTCTAACTGCTGGGGAAAAAACACTTCTTAAAAATGCCTCTTACGAAGTTTTAAGTATTTTTGGAAATTGCATGTAGCAGAAATTGGCAACTGACATAGAATAGGAACTTATGAAGGCAAATGTTCAATATAACATTATCAGGAAAACCGGGATATGACAATGTTATGGTCTCAGCATTTACAGCACTATCATCCTCCTTACAGATTTGCACTCCTGTATAATACTCTCTGTGTGTGTGCGCGCGTGTATCTTTTTGTTTCTAATTTAAAAACATCTGTAATAAATTGGACTGATTGAGGAAGTTCGTAACAAGAGTTGATTGCCCGAATTCCCCTGTATGGAAGGGGAGAATATGGACAGATGTGCTTAGCACAGGCTACATTTGACTCCTAGATCATGAAGTTACCAAACCAAAAATGCAGCCAAAGCACGACACTAGTTTCTCTAACAAATCCAGTAATTTAAAATGCTCCTTTACCACTTGAACTAAGGTTAAGAGGAATTTGGTATTAGATAGATGCCCACGGTAAAGTCATACTAAAACCTCTTATAGTACATCTAAATGGGAAAATTATCCAGATGAATTATCATTTCGATTTTTATAAAGCCCAGAATAAATATCAGAACAGGAATTCCTTTGTACTTGAAATCAACGCACCTTCCGACAATAATCGAAAAAAGAAAATTTGTTTAATGTAAAAATGGCAACAAGATTTAAACCCTTCACGTGAATACATAAAACAGTACAAGTACCTCTCTTCTAATCGATCCAGACAAATTGAACATTCCTGATGTGTCATTATTTGTAGTTAAAGACAGCATGACGGTGCTGGTTAAGCGGTAATGAGCTGTTCCTTCCTCCACAGGCCCTACCTGGTATAGAACCAGATTTGCAGCATGACCAAATGAGAGAATAGGTGCTTAAAAGGAAAATTAGAAAAGCAGAAACAAATAAGAAAGGTGCAAGTATCATGGAAACCGTGGCAGTTGAAGTTTACTTCAATAACATGGATAGCGTCCCATGCACCCTCCTGCAAATAACCCCTTCTACCATGCCCCGTCTTTGATCCATCTTCATCATTAATGTTTGGGAGTTAGTTATAAAGCCGGTATCTCAATGGCTGCATAAAGCTACGTTAGTGAACTTTACCTTTCTTTATCAGAAAGCAGGCTGCAAAACCTTCATTGTCATCTTCCCACATATAAACTGATGAAATCCCACCTTCATAATACCTAGCAAATTATTGGTCAATCAAGCTGCTAAGTCATTAAAAAAAAAAAAAAAAACCCACTGTTGCATGAAATAAAAGCACTACTGCTTGAGATAATTATTTAGACGATCAAAGCTTTCTTGTTTTCAAAATCAGCTTAAAGGGACAAAGCCACAGAAACGAAACAATCATCACAAAGAAGTCATCATTCATCAACAAAAGCCATTAGCCAACGAAAAAAGAGTAAGTAAAGGACCTCACTGGTCACGATATATAGCAAAGATGTCATTTGCTTCGACTTCAAGTTTCCTCAAGTCTGGAGATGGGAGGGAGCCATCCTCTAATTGTGGATGGTATTTGTTTGACCAAGGTGATCTGCATGAAAACATAGAAATACATAACAGATTAAGTCACTAGTCACTACAATAGTTGATTCGCATTTAAGAGACAAAAATAGCATGATTTAAGCCTAGGATGCCAACTTCATCAATTTATCGTATTAATTAGAACGACAGTTGAGCAAGAAAAATGAACACAAAAGGTGGCTCCAAATCTCCAGTGAAATGTGAAAAAATACAGGTAGATAGGTGGTACTCTTGCCATGCTATAATCGCAAGTTTGAACATTCAAAGTTGAATGAGTTGAGTGTCTACCTATAAGAGTCTGCATCTCTATTATATTCGCACAAAATGAATTCCTTTCCAGAGTCCACGTCGCATAAGACCTGTTTTGCTCGGTAAAAAAAGTTTCATATTCAGGAATCAATTAGGAAAGCAACTGCTTTCAAGAAAAAAAAATCACATAATTCACCCAAACAACAGATTAAGAGAAAAGTAAATCCAAGGAACTACATTTGAGACAGACAAAACTTCTAAAAATAATAGGTGACCCATATTAGCCCTAGAAGAAAAAATTCCAATTTGTATGAGCCAGAACATTTCCCCAAGCAGTTGAACCAAAAAAATAAAACAAAATAAAATAAAATAAGAAACTAATCCAGTAAAAGAAAAATGGTGAAAATCCCAAAAGAACAACTTTATCAAAAAAAAAAAAGGGGGGGGGGGGGGGGGGGGGCGGGTATCAATTTGCAAGGTGAGATGACCTAATCGCATTAATAAAAGTACAATAAATCCAACAGCACTGAAATGACATCATTCATGCACCAATATACGTACATATTATGAATTGGCGAAATATCAATTAAATGCTGCTTCAACAACCAAAATTTGAAGCCACAAAATCATTTAAGAGATTCCGAGTGGTCGCTCCAAACAAAAGTAAGCTACTCTGAGCAACTATTGAACTAAAGTTGGAAGATTTAAAAAATAAATAAATAAATTCAAAGTACCAGAGGAAGAAAAAAAAAAGGATGTATTGTTGCTTTTCAAAAATAAAACTTTTGCTAATATGTAAAACAGCAGAACAAAAGAAGAACAATACTTTTTTTCCCATTTGGTTTTCTCCAATCCTCAGCAACAAAATTCAGGTCACAATTTCCTTTCATTCTTGCGATTCTTATAATCGTCTTGTGAAAATTCCAACAACCCTAGCCAAAAATACTACCCTAAGATTGTTTTATCTTTGTGTCCGTTCACTTTTCATCAGTTCATCTTTTGTCCGTTCACTTTTCATCAATTCCTCAGCAACCAAACACAAAAACGATGAAGAAAACATAAAACACCGAACCCTAGCTAATTGAAACAAAAACAAAAACAAAAAACAGAGAAAAATGAACAAAATTGAGAACCTGGAGAGGCTGATCGACTTGAGAGAGGAGATCGGAGGAGTGTTGGGGTAAGAGAGTGAGAAGAGCGGAGAGAGCGGTCTCTATGTGCTTTGGAGGCATTCTCCTCATCAGTCCCATTGCTGCCTCCATTTTCTTTCTCTCACTTTCTCGCTATCCAAACAGTCAATCAGAGACAGAGAAATTTAAGGCGATTTTTTTTTCTTCTCTCCCCCCCTTTTTTTTTCCCCTTTTTTAGAGAGAACTCACACTTTTTCTTCAATATTTGTGTTGTTTTGCTTCGCAAACGGTGAGAGAAAAAAGAGACGCCCGTTTCTTTTGATCCGAGTTTCCCTCGCGGGAACCATCCTTTATATATCTACTATTTCTTTCTTTCTTTGTTCCTTTCTCTCTTTTTTCTCTTTTTTTTCTTTTTTGAGGAATTTTTTGTTTTATTTCTACTAAAAAATAAAAAGGGGCGTAAACATAATGTCAATGAAAATATCATACTGAAAATTAAACATGAGAAATTGTAAAAATAAAGTGAAGAATTCAAATCTCACACTCCGTGATAATACTATACTGATTTTATTATAAAGTGAAGAGTTTGAATTTTTTACCTCAAGTGAAAAAAAGAAATTGCAAAAGTAAGAAGAAAAGGAAAAGACTAAGGCCTCGTTCATTTCACCGATTCGAGTTTTCAGTTTTAGGTTTCTACAGTAAAAAACTCTCAAAAAATGTCACATCTAATTTTTTCTGCTACAGTAAAAAGCTCTCAGAAAATATCACATCTCAACTCGAATCCACGAAGTGAACGAGGCATAAGACTAAAAAAAAAATTCTTCTAACTGAGAGAATTTTGTAAAGCTGATTTACGCCCCCGCCAAATAATAAACGACATTTCTAGATATATTGAAAAGGAAAATAATGCCCTTTTTTGTACATTAAAAAATAATTATACTTCAACTACCAAAAATGTGCAACATTGCCGAACTAAAGTTGTGTTTGGAGTTATTTTTATTTTATTTTTCACATTTTTCAAGAAAGAAAAATAAAAACGGGAGAGAAATAGCGTTTAACACAATTAAAAATAAAAAATAAAAATAAAAATAATTTTTTAATTTAATGTAAAATGGGATAGAAATGAAAAATAAATTTTAATCATTTTTTATTTTTTATTTATGTTTTTTTCTCTCGAACAGAAAAAGAAAAATATTAATACATTTTTTTATATTAAAAATAATTTATTAATAAAATTATCAAATATATTTTTAAAAATAATTTTTATTTAAAATTAAAAATATTTTTATTTTTAAATTCATATAAAAAATAAAATTATTTTACAACGAATTTTAAAAGTACTTTAAATTGTTAATTGGCTTTTAAAAAATGACTTTCAACACTTCCTCTCGCAAAACTTTTCACAAATTTGCAAGTTGCCTAATAAATTTTTAATTTTAGTAGATTATAAATTAAATAAAGTATTGCATGAAGTGGTCAAATTGACGACAGGTGTCAAAATGAACGGAAAAGTCAATGCGCAATGATTGATGTGACTCGTCTTCATCAAATATTCTAATTTTCACTTTTCAAATGATGTGACCCGTTTTTATCTAATATTCCAATTTCACATCTTATATGATGTTCACAATGATATCTTTCGTTGAAATTTTAACAAATATCATCATTTGAAGACACTCTGTAATACTTTATTAAATTTAAGAAGTATTTTGTCAAAATAAAAAAATTAGAGATTAAGGGGTTGTTCTTTTAGAGTGTAATTTAAGTGTAATTTTTGAGTTGAATTTGAGTTATAACTTGAGTTAAAGTTAGAACTTGAATAAAGTTGAGTAAAATTGAATAAAATTGAAACTTAAAATAACGTGAACTTGAATAAAGTTAAAACTTGAGTTATCTTTTTTTGAATTTTTTTGACAAAAGAACATGCCCTAACTACCGATCATGTAAAGTGAATCGCATAAGAGAATCTCATTATGATAACTTTATTTAGAGAGTAAGGGTATGTTTAATAATAATTTTTAGAACTTAAAATCAATTCTCTAGTTATTTACGGTGTGAATTGTATAAGAGAATCCTATTATGATAACTTTATCCAAAAAGTAAGAGTATGTTTGGTTGTGATTCTAAAGTCCAAAATTAATTCTCTAATCAACTGAAATTTGTGTTTAGTAAAAACTATAAAAAGCAATTTTTAAAGAATTTATAGTCAAAATCAGAAGCAGCCTAAAAGTAACTTTAACTTTTAGATTGTACAGCAATCATCTTTAAGTATAATTAATAAAACTTTTATAATACCCCTAAAATCAATACTTATATAATTACAATTTACCAAACATTCAACTGTTTTTTTTTTGTAACAGCTGTTTTTTTTTTCAGCACAACTATTATCAATTTTTCTAAAATCTACGGCACTAAACTGGCCCTAAATTTCGCACTAAATTTATGTAATATGACATATCCAAGTCCAACATGTAAACTGTTCAAACTACACAACACCCCTTTCAGTTCAACTAAATAATCTGACTTTAGAGATAGTACATAAATAAATTACAATATATATATATATATATATATATATATATAAACATCAAGGCGGAAAAATGTTGAGCTGTGGATCATGTTAGTAGTAATCATTGCCGCTAATAGACGCATTTGACTTTGTCCATGCATGTTATTTTCCAATTCACAGAGAGGTTGTTTCCCTTTAACCAATTCTCAGCTTTTTTAGCTACCTTTTGTTCAACCTTTTCTTCTATTTTTCCTATACCCTGAAATTTAATAATATTATATACATACATATATATATATATATATGTGTGTATATATATCAGTTATAGGGGGGAAACAAAAAAGAAAACAAAAATCTACATGCATTTTAGGAGTAGTAGATTTGAAGGCATAGCAACAACAAACAGAAGCCACGAACAAGTAGGTCCCAAAAAGGTTGGTAAAATGATGGAGTTTATGGGGCCTTAAATTGGCAAATTATTTCCTTTTGTCCCTTTTCATCGGCCTAACTCCTTTTGTGAGCTGTTTGGAGAATGCATAATCCGTCCAACGAATCACGGACCCGCCCCCGGAAACTCATACTCTAGCCAAACGGATCTTTATAGCTTATTGTGCTCTTCCCACTCTTCTGTCATGATCCACCCCAATATCTCCCCATACAGACACAAAGGTCTTATCTCATTCAGATGTAAAGATGTGTATGAGAAGAGGATGATCGTTCGATATCTCGACTATCGTGGTGCGACAACTCCAACCGAAACGTCTTTCAGCGTATTTGAGAGCGTGCCTCCGCTCTTAATGGATGGGTGGTTCAAGGGGGCCGGGCTTGTTATAGAGAGCACCTGCTTTTGAAATAGAAAACACCCACGAACCAATAATGTGCAGTTTTGAACGTCAAATCATATTAGAATGACCTAACAAGCAAACATGATGAAATGTAATGGTCAATTATCCCTACCATTTGGATAGCTATTTGGCAGGATGGAGAAGTACCTTTATGATTTTGTCCTGATCAGAAGTGCTCTATGTCTACTAAACACAGCTGTTTTAGCATGCAAAAAGTAACCGGTTCTGTATTTCCTTGCGGTCAATCAGACGTGCAAAAATTTCAAATCCATGTACAACTTTATTTTCTCCTTAAAAGTGAGAAGGAAATAATGGGTGTTATCATCTGTAAGTAGCACATACAGGTAGTTATATTACTCTCTGAAAAGAAGTTGACAGACACTGTTCCTAAGTTCCTAGTATGGAAACAAAAAATTCCCATCACAAAAGAATTGCCCCGGAAAACACGTCACTCGTTCACTTGCAGAGAAAACATATTTTACTATAAAATTTGTAATTGAAAAATATTGCATATCAGGACATGAAAATTATCGCACTTGTCATGTCATAACCTTCGAGATGTGTCTATAAATCCTTCATGATCTTGAGTTTAATTTGGCACGCCTCTCCGCATATGAAGCTGCAACAAGTTCAAGAAATTCGGTTAGTTGAAAATCTTGCTAAAAGTTGACAAAAAAAATAGGAAACAATGCATGAAAATGTCAAGACAAAAGACAAATTAAATTATATTTTTCAAAGAAAGATATAAAGAGCTTCTGCTTCCTCTTATAACTAGTGCGGAATTATTTGCAACATGTCAAACACAGAATAAGAAAGGTCCGGGAAAAAAAAAAGGAGGAAATGTTGGACATAGTGGTCTTAGCGTTCTGTAACATCCTTCCCTACTTTTGCAACATTAAAGTTTCCACCACTTCCACCGAAAATGACGGAAGATGGATTATATCATGATGATTTGAAATAACATAAGCCTCTTCCTGGTCACAACCTATTAAACAACTTTCAGTTGAAAAACCAAAATTTGAGACAAAATAGGCCAGTAAGTTTGGAGCGTTTACTCAAGTCATTATATTATTGTCCTGTCCTTTTTCTGGTAACATAAGCACACTTGATAAGACATTATCAACCATCAAATGATAACACATAGATCACAAAACCATTTTGTTTTATTGTAATGAATGTTTCTTAGCCAAACCAAAATTTAATTGTCAAGGCAATGATAAGACTCACGCTCAGTGGGCCGAGACATGAGAGGAATATGGGCAGCCTTCTTCTTGATTGCTCCATTGTTTGAGGTGCTCTGATCTGGAAGAAAATCAACGGCAGTTAAGGTGATACTGTAACTATGAATAGATAGAATAAAATTTTACTTGGTCTATTGGAAATACTAGGATAAGTATTCTGTTGTCAGCACCTGTTGATGTGGGCAAACAGGCAAGTAGAGCTTCTTGAAAGATGGCAGCTTGGAGATGGTAAGCTTGGCATTGTTTCGTCAAGTGTTCACGTAGCGCTTGTCCAGCTTCTAGAAGTGTAAGCAATTTAAGATTTAAAGTGAGAGAAGCAAGTCACACTTTGAATTTTGAAAGCATATAATTAAAAGCTAAAAGGTCACTAAAAAGAAAGCTAAAAAAAAAATACAAACTAAAGGGAGAAAAAGCATCTGATAGATAAATGTTATTGGTTCGGGTGCAGATTAAGTTTTAGTTGTAATAAACTAGATGCATAAGACTATAACGTTTTGCTCTCATACCTGACGAACAATTGAACTTTAGATTTTCAAATTCACAGGAATGAAGAACCAATGGAATCTCTGGAGCCATGGTGTACTGAGGTTTCCTTCGGGTCCTGTCAGTATCCAGTAGCACATCTATTACCTACGAAGTGCATTTAACAGGAATTATTTATAATATTGGTTTTTGGTTAGAAATATTCAAAATGAACAAGCCATGGCTAGCCAAAAAAGCACAAAACTAACATAAGTATCACATGAGATCCCCTAATCCATCAGAAGACTAGAATGCTGGAGCCTGGAAGTGTGCATTCATAGGAAGAGACTAGATATTAAGAGGTCATAGTATGTAAGTATGCATGCCATCAGTAATATATATATATATATATATATATCGATTGTAGTGGCATATCTAATTGCTGCTTAAACTGTAGGGAGAAAATCAAAAAAATTTAACATCATCATCTAAGTTTTCAAATAACCAAACTCCAGCCGACCAACAAGGTGTATCATAGTAAGAGAACTTCAAATTTCTGTATTTGTCCCCAGAAGATTGAAAGTTAATCCATGACTAGAACTTTGACTTAATGTCAGTGGAACAAACAAACAAAAAACAAAAAATAATTCCCAGCTAAAGATTGTAAAATTATTGGACACTAGGCATGCATCCGATATCATCTCAGATAATGCACGTGTTGGGATGGTACTAATGGGACACACACGGAATGTTACATCAGAGTCTATTTTTTGGACAACTTGACTGATTGGCAAAGCTAAGTTCACAAAATTCTAAAATCAAACAATTAAGAGTATATGCGATTCGCACTTCAGGAGATTCAAAGCCTTGGCCAATCATGAATAGTACAGCAACCATGCATCGAACCTGATGCCACAAGAACGCACTGCCTTCGATTTTGATTGCCCAAAGTTGCTTTCCTTCGAACCTGGCAAAATATTTTATCGTCCTTACAGAGCTCTTTAACAAAAAAACGAAGTATGTCAAGATATCAGATAAAAAATTTGTGAAGCAATTTTCACAAGAACAGAACAGCAAGAGATACAGATGCCCTGAAAACTGGGTTTGAGAATCAAAATGTCAATAGGGAAAGCAAAAAATACCAAATGGTGCTTTCTCCTTTCCAAAAGGGAAGATTTAAGAAGTTTATTTCTAGAAGTTGTAACTTAAATAATTGCAAATGCAGTATAGATTTTGCATCCACCATGTGTCACTTAGTGTGTGTGTGTGTGTGTGTGTGTGTGTATTACATCCTCACACCGCCCCTCACACTCACTCAGCAAACTCATTCTAGAGTCGCAAACATTACATCTTATAAGCCACTATTATACAAGCTTGAACATTTGTTGTTTATATTGTTCTCACTTATCTTTAGGTCTCTATATCTAAGGAAAAGTTATTCTTTTTCTATCTATAAAGGATTTCTATAACTAAGAGTTCATAAATCAGAAACATTACAACTTTATCAGGGGGAAAAGAAAACAGCACCTTTACTTTTGGAAACTGAATTGATGATACTTGCTATAAACATCATTCCACCACTATTGTAGCAAGGCGTAACATGTTTATATGTAACTATAAAGTATAAAATTTCCAAATGAGGATAATAAATCAAAAAAGTAAATCTTAGATTTAACAGCCATGGTATAAACTGATTTCAATCAGGAAATGAAGAGGTTGGCTAACGAATCTTGACATGAATGGTTCGGAATATATATCTACCAAGGTCAACCTCACATCAGTAGGGGAAATTTCAAATGACGAGACACAACGCCGGTAGTTGTGCACATTTAATGCATCCATTTTACAGAAGTTCCGGAAGTCATGTTCGCCAATAAATTTCTTACCAGCACTCTCCATTTCCTGGAGAAACAAGAACCAGAAACATTGCATCTAGTGATAATCCAAACTTGAGCAATACATTGGTGTAAACCAAAACAGAAGAAAAGATATACCAAGAGATTTAGACTTTCTTCCCAAAAGAAATATTTGTACTCCCTGTTCAAACAGCTAAACCTGTATTTTGGCAATGAAAATCAACAGAGATTAAAGGTAATCACTCTGACAAAACCATTCCCAGAAAAGAACTCAAACAAAAAAGAGAAGCAAAAAAATAACTGGATTACATCAGAATGATGCAAAAGAAACCATGAAAGTTAAAAGGAAAGATTAGTAATACTACGCAAGAGAACAACATGGACAATATAGCATAGAACTCGAAATTATTGTCACTTGCTTCTGGGAATTATGAGCAAGTGCAAAACGATTTGGATGAACATGTCTAAGAAAACACATGAAATTGTCAAATATTATCCTCATTTTAAAGTTTATACTTGATGCAGAAGAGTATATATATTATGATGACAAAACTTCAATGCGCTGGATAGTATAAAACTATAAATCAATAATTTTTAATAACCAATAAATTATACTTTTATTGAAAATAACAGACATTTTTGCCGCATATTTCACCCTAAAGCTTTATTTTGATTTGATTTTATTTTATTTTTCTTGCTAAGGATTCCAAAGCTATTTGGTCAATAAAATGGGTATTAGAAACTCATAATGGTTTAGACCATGCTAACAGCTACAGGCTAGTTTTGATTCATTTTTTCATGCTGGTGTTTATTCACTTGTCTTCACCAATAAGTATCGTTGTTTTTCTCCTCCGACAATAAAGAGCCTTTCATTGATTGAATATCAATGACAAGGGCAGAAGACAAGAAGTCCTCAAGAGAAAGCAGGAAAAAAAAAAAAAAACACACACACACACACAAAAGAGCACGAAGTAAAAAATCCCAAAAGAAAGTAGTCTCTGCAAAGGAACTTCAAGTTTCACATCTATTTCATTGTGAAATAACATATATGGAGTGAAAATCCCTCGAACAAAGTTATTGTTAGGAACCTGATAATTTCCTCAACCAAACAGCCAAACACACACACACACAAGCAGCCAACACCAGATTTGATGCAAACAGAGGAGTTTTATTGAATTTTACTTCAACACCAGCTCATACAAACCAAAACCAGCTAGAGAAAATTAAAGAAAGCGAAATGGATGGAATGGAGAATTCGAGTACTCTGGGAACTCCTAATTTGGTAGTATTCGAGAGACCACCACTCTCCCTAATCTCAGTTTTCCAAAACTCTAAAAATCACAACATAACAAACTCTGCCCCTTCCCACTATTTTTATACGAGAAATTTGTTAGAGTGACTATCTAACAAAGTGAAATTGGAAAAATGACCTTCATTTTTTATGAAGAACGACTACCCGATCGTTCCATGTAAAAAATTGTCGTTCCTGGTTGTTCTGTAGTCATTTTACAAATAAAAAATTTTCAAAAGTTATTTTGCTAATAAAACTTTTCTATTGAGTCATTTTTACAAAGGCCTCCTAGCCAAAACCAAGACAAATCAGCACTAACATAATTTCTGAGAAATTGGACAGAAATTATGTCCAAACCTAACTAATTCCTTTCTCCTCACTTAACCCCCTCTTAGCCATTAACTTCCTAAGAACTAGTGTCTAACAGTTATCTTTACTTTATAAAATAATTGAAAAACTAAGGCAACATGCAAAGTAAACAAACCTTGCACTGAAACCAATTGGAACAGGACACCAGCCTAAAACTCGAATATCATTTGGAAGGGATCGATTCAGAACCCTCACATAATCAATTTCTCCTTCTGCAAAAGACATGAAAAAAGAGGGAAGGAAGAAAAAAAAATGTAGTTAAACCTTAAAATAATTGGTTTGAGTATAATCTCAAAACGTGAGCACAATCATAAACAAAGAGCTTAGACCATGATCAATAAATTTATTTATCCAACTATGCTTCTCATCCATATTCCTATACCCAAATGTCACGAGCTTGAGTAGCAAGCTTACTTGGTGGAAACAGATTCTGCAACCCTAATGGGTTTTTACAAGAATTATTTTCTAATAAGATACAAAAGATATAGAGCAAGTATATTCATACGAAAAGAGAGTATAAAGGAAAGAACAATAAGGAATTCTCCTCTAACAGAGCATTCATGAAACTATCAGCATGGAATCATGTTTTTTAAAAAATAAAAAATAAAATAAAATAAAAAATTTTGCAGTTTTGTTGTTCTCAGCTTTCCAATAATTTGAATAAGAAGTCGCCCACTAATTACGCTGAAATCATGATGAAGTTTTATGTTTAGCATAGGTTTGACTTTTCTAAAAATATTACGGTTTCAGTTATCACCTTTTCAATTGTTTTTATAAAATTCTGCCCATAATAAGGCTTCAAAACATGATGGACTTGCACATCTATGTCGCAATATTCTTAACCTGGAAAATATTCGGCACTAGAATTCTGAAAACTGGAGTACAAGGAGGTTAGGGGAAAAAAAAAAAGAAAAAAAAGGGCTAACCCAACTGTTCTCCAGAAATGACTTCACTTGAGTTTTCATGGTTTGAATGAGCTTTTGTGAGGTTTGATCGCAAAAAGAGAGCAACAACCTGCATTAAATGCACTTATTATTCAGATGGCAAGAGAGAGAGAGAGAGACATATTATTCAGATGGCAAGAGAGAGAGAGAGAGAGAGAGACATATAAAGTAAGTTGAAACAAATAATAGATATTAGATACTACAATAAACATTGGCGGAAGAAGTTATCGCTAGATTATTAAAGGTAAGGAATGATTCAATCACTATTGCTGGTGATATACATATCTCAAGTGATAGAACTTAGTAAATACAACTTTTCTTTGTCATTAGCAACATAGACCAAGATGGCATAAACAGTTGATGATATCCTATATCACCACAGGGTGCGATCGCTTATAATGAGCGATAAAGGTATCAACTTTTATGTCTGGAATCCAATTTATTCTTAAAAAGACAAAGGGAAGTGCATTGGGATAACCCAATTTAAACTATACACGTATAAACCTTTAAAAAGAAAAATAAAAAAAATAATAATACTTCTGCGATTCAGAACTACAAAGTAACATTCTGTAAAAGAAATCTCGAGAAGATTTTCTTTTCCCCTCCAACAAAAGAAAATGCTAACAGCTATAAAAAATCCCTCCAACAAGGAAAAATCAAAGAACAGTAATAATGTTAAATTCCCTTGGAGCAGATGCCCGTGACACAGAATTTGTCATGCAGGTAGGTTAAGATTTAAAACCCAGTCACTAGCTGACATCAGTGGAACACACAAAATATAGTCTCAAGAAAATTTTCTTCGCAAAAAGAGGAGTCAGAAGACCACTTCTACAACAACAAAAACACGTGTATAAATCTAGAAAGTTTCACAATCTCAGAAGAAATTATTAATGAATGAAATTCCAGCAAAATTTCTTTTCTCACTTACTTGCCCAACAGAAGAAACCCCCTTATCTGTTCTACCACATCTTGAATATTGAGACTCCTTCTTGTCACCAACTAAAAGCCTTGTTTTTTTAAGAGCTCCAAAAAGTTCAGACTGCAAGAAGCGTCAACACTTACAAAGAAAGGACAGTGTACTACATAATACAAATATATGCATTTTAGAGTTTAGTCTTCAATTTGGGGTTTGTTTTAAGAAATTAAGTCATAATCTTACAAAACCCACCTTAATTCTTTCCACACACACACAAATCCCTGTAGTTTCCCAAATAGTCTTCTCCAAGGGAAGTTTTGAAAACAGAAAAAGATAGCAACAGCAAGAACAACATAAATGTGCTAGCATTATCCATGTATACAAGAAGCGTGGTATGCACCGATTTATGTGCCATCAGTGGAACACCATAGTTATAAACAATGAGAACCATCAACTGCAAAGAAGTTTATATTTAAAATAGCACAAATTTCCACATTCCGCAACATATTTTACACACCAGTCCATTAATGTATACCCAAGAGGTTTAGAAAAGGTAAGAGAAATAGGTTAAAGATAGAGAAACATAAATCAGACCTCAACTGTTGGATCCATTTGTGCTTCTGAAGCAAAGCCATAGAACCTGTAATATGGCATAGAAAAAATTCCACTCACGCACTATAAGAGAGCTCTGAGTTACAAATATGCATCTGTCACAAGAAATAGACTAAAGGGACAACTCAGTGAATGGTAAGAAACTCAAGCCAACGTTCACTTTAAGAAAACCAAGCACCCAAAAAAAAAAAAAAACAATACCGGATTCCAAGAGTATTACTTAGTTTAAGCTGATAAGTAGTTAGCCTTTATTGGCTTTTATATCTGATATTTGCTTTCAAAGGTGGGCTTAGATGATATGCGAATTTCAGGGAAAACAAATGGGAACGCAAAATCAAAGTACAGAGTTGAATGAGCAGTAGAATGAGGTGCAAACTCAAACTAAGATTCAGCATTAGAGAATCCATGGTAAGGTTAAAACCCCGGACCACCTGTTCCAAAACCATATTTGCTCGTCAATTCCTCCAAAAATTTCACAGGACAGAAGGAGCGCAACATTATATTAATTATCAACCCATCAAGCATCTCCAAACAAGAATTCTAGGATTCCACAACACCCCAATCCGCATTGTTGTTGAGAGCAAGACTCAAAAGTGGCAACACAGATAAAGATGCCCCTATCCACAATGTCCTTGAGCGCAAGACTCTTTACTTATCCTTTCCAGATATGGAGCCAAATGACATGAATGAGGATATTAATTAAAAAGAAAAATGGTTGAATAATGGCTATACAATGTACCTCTGCCCAAAGTACATTAGTTTAAGAGCAACATATCTTTTGCACTGGTGATTCATGATGCTTGTATCACAACCTGTACACAAAAAGAAGAATTAGATTATACTCATTCATAAGCTGTAATTCAGCGATTTATACATATAACACAACCAGACAAACTTTCTAGCTTAGGTAGACCAAGATAGGCAAAAAGAAAAAGAAAAGGTTTATTGTCTGTATTCAAACACACCCATAAGACGATACATGTTTTAGAAGACTTAAGACTATCAAAAATACAAAACAAAAACAAATCCCATTTACTATATGGCCCCAAAAAATAAAAGTACAACTTTGCTTTTGCCAAAATGTAAGTTGCATTTGAATTAAAATAATCTTAAATTGATAAAAGACCTGAAGCTTTCTCTTTGGATTTCTTTTTTTTGGTCTTAGTGCCACCAGATTCTGATTCCATGCTGTTTGCAGAAGAACCGCCAAGCTGCTTCTCTTTCTGCACCATAACTAACATGTCAAACTCAAAAACTGCTTAGTTAATAACTCAACTTCTTAATTATAAGGACAAATTTTATAAATTCCCCATGAACTTTGTCACTTGTGTCAACATGCCCCCTAAGGTTAACTCCGTTAAGTTTTTTAATAGAAATGCTTATAAACACTCCTGATCTTTGTCATTTGTGTCAATATGCCCCATAAACTTTAAAATGTACCTGTTTTGCACCCCGAACTATGATATATCTCCAACTTTTCTCTCTCCATCTTGATTTTATCAGTTTTTTAAATAAAAATGTTGATATGACCATTAAATTGCTAGTTATCTATGATATTTGACAATTAAAGTTTGTTAAGTTAATGGATTTTGTTAAGGTTTGTGTTTTTTTTTTTTTAAAAAAGGCACGATAAAATAAATGACATGAACGCATTTAGACTTAGAAATGTTATATATGTATAAAGCATAAACATGTTTTATGTCGAGCACTTCTATCCAGGTGAAATATTAAGGAAAAAAAAAACTAACAAAATTCATTACATTATACAGATTTACTCCTCATTTTTCCCCCTTTATTGTCTTTAATCAACTAAAGTTTTAAAAATTAGTGCTTAAGTAACAATTTTAAAGGGGAAGGTATTCAATAAACCTTAAATATCATAAGAAATTAACAATTGAATAGTCATGTCAACATTTCCGTTTAAAAAATTGATAGAATCAAGATGGAGGGAGAAAAATTAAAAACATATCATAGTTCAAAAGGCAAAACGGGTACATTTTAAAATTCATGGGTCATATTGACAAAATTCAAGGATTTATAAGCATTTCCCTTAAAAAAACTTAATGGAATTAACCTTATAAGGCATGTTGACATAAGTGACAAAATTTAAGGGGCACAACATGCACATTTTTAAAATTCATGAGACATGTTGACACAAATAACAAAATTCAAAGAGAATTTATAAAATTTGTCCTAATTATAAATAAGGTAATCTTTCATTGCTTTTTTTCTTGTTTCCACTCTGACTTTCCATATTTACCTTTTTAAAAAAGGCCATTAATAAAAGAAAATAGTAAAATATAAGATTATTATCGCTGGTACCTTAAATTTTAAAGTCATTTTTAATTTGACTTTTAAACTTTAAAAATACTTACTTTATCTTGAATTTTAAATTATTCTCACTCAATTTATGAATTTTATTAAAAATAAATATAAAAAAGAGAATAATATAGTCACATAATTTTTTTGTTTAAATTTTTATTAAAAATACACTGATAAAAATTACGGAGTCGCAATTAATCTCTTTTTTTTATATGATTTAAATAGAAATTCTTATAAAAAAAGTTCAAATAGGACAAATTAAAGTTTAACGAGTAAAACGAGAATTTTCAAAATTTTAAGACAAAATGGAAATAACATCAAAGTTCAAGGTTATCAGGAATTAACCCTAAAATATAAGTGCGTGTATGTAACGATGAGTATGAGGAAGAAAATGAAGAAATGGTAGAGGAAACTAGCCTCAGAACAGGTACAATTTGAAAGACGCGATGATAACTTGGCGTTCTCAGACTCTAGTTCCTGCTTCAACGAGAAACGAATCTCAGCCAAACTGAAAATGAGAGAGAATCTGAAGAGAGAGAGAACCTGAATTCGGAGTTGGAGAGAGTTGACAAGGGATTGAAGGGAGGAGAGAAGGTTGTCTCCGTCGGCAACTGCAACTTCCATGGACATGGTGGATTTTCTTCAAAAATTATCGCTCTCAACACTTCGCCCAGTGGCGCCAGGACAAAGGTACTGAAATACTCTCTTTTTTTTCTTTAAGGAAAATTAGGTAAATGCCTTTGTTTGGCTATCTTTTTCAATAAATTAAGAAAATTTTTTAAAGCTAGTTAGATACGAGAATTTAAATAAAGTGATTCTAGTTTTAATTTTAAAATTAGAATTAAAATTTATAATTTTATATTTAAATTATAATTTTAAAATTAAAATTAGAGGTTTAAATTACATAAAATTAAAGAAAGTATTTTTAAAATTATAAGTGATTTATGATTTAAAACATCATATTAAGATTTAAATTTTGAATTAAAACTATTTAAATTAAAAATTAATTCTGAATGAGTTAAATTAGAATTATTTTTTATTTTTTATAAATAAACACTGATTTAAACTATAATTATGATTCTAAATTCAGAACTCTTATACCAAATAATACCTAAAATTTTAGTTAGAGATTCTCACTTTATATTTTAAGGAAAATGATCGTTTTTTTATAGAAGTTAATTAGTGTTAAATTGTGATTAATCAACTATAAATTAAAAAGTTGATCAATGATAAATTAAAATTAATAACAAAGCTGTTATTTTATTAATTTTATATGACTTCGACCAAAATGAAAGTTTTTTGAGCTATTTTGTAATAATGATTGAAGTGTTGTAAAATTTAAAAAGAAAAAGACCATTTAAATCAGTTTATTACTGATTAACTTCACGGTGCATCAGTGATTAACTAACATGTGATAAACCAATATAATTCACAGTATTTGATCATGAAAAAAAAAAAAAGAATAATTTCCTTTAAGGAAAAAAAAAGCTCGATCTAAATGTCTAAAAAATTCAACTATTAATTTAAAATGGGTCTTTAAAATCAACCGTCCACCTAATTTTTTGTCAAATTTAATTAAAATATTGATCGGAAAGTTTTAAATAGTGATCGTTAAATTATAAAACGATAATTTTTTCTTGCCTATTAATTTTCGATATGTGTTTTTTTTTAATGCATCTTTTGTGATAATGCAGCCATAAGTCGTGAATGTAAGCAAATGGGCATATACTGGACCATGTTGGAATACAAATAATTGCGACATAAAATGTAGGACGGTTGAGAATGCAAAATATGGACATTGTTGGGTTCGTTGCTTTTGCTGCTTCTGCTGATCATGTCAATAATGAGTATATATCAACTACTTTAAATTGCAATATATTATATCATGTGTTTTACAACATATAAGATTTTTTTTTTTTTTTTTTAAGAATGCAACATATAAGTTACTTTGAATAATTATATTTTTGAAGTTGCATGTATTTACGGAATATATGTATTTTATGAATTGTTAGGTCGAACTTTACTAATAAACTAAATATTTAAGTTTGATCAGGTTTATTAGACCAATCTGGGATTGTTTCTTTAAGGGTCTGTGCAAAAGACCTCTTCACACCCAATAAAAAGCTCTAAAGAGAAATTTGTAAAATTTACTCTTAAAAGTGTATGAATTTAAATTTTTACCTATCATTCTTGATTAATACCCTTTTATTGGTATAATATTCAACTAAAAAGGTTATTAATCAATAGTAAACGATAGAAATCTTAAATCATGTACTTTTAAAGATATTTGTCTCATTTTCCTAAAGCTAAAAGTGTTAAAGTATCAAACTATTGTTGGCTCACCTCATAAGAATTTAAGCTTTTGGGATGAATTGATAAACTAACATAATATCAGAGTGGGAGGTATTGAGTTCAAACTATCGTAATTGCACTTTTTATCCCTATTTAAATTGTTATCATTTGTTGGGTGTCTTTAACATATTTCGGGTTTGTTATCAAATATTCACGTGTTGTGTTTTTCAAATGATTTACCTACACGATTACTCATTGTTCAACCCACACGTGAAGAAAAATATTAAAATATAAAATTATTATTAGCTCAAAATTAGTGAACAATTCTTAGTGTGATCGTGCTTTTATTTTTCTTTTCGCTGTTTTTTGTTTTCAGTCTCGGTATTCGAATTAGGTTTCACCTAATTTTTCCTTAACAGCATGAAGTGCAAACTTCCGCTCACTAGGCAACATCTGAACATGTGATCTATATGTTAATTTTGGCTTTTGGCGACAATCTCTTGTTAAGTTGTTGTTCGGTTCCAGTATTAAGCTACTCTTGTTAACATTTTGAGTGTAATTCAATCACACTGTTGTAACAGTATGATGGCCAAATGATATCTTCATAATATAATTTCATCCTAAATGCGTTGTAAGAAAAGTAACATTAAAACCAAAAGCTCAAATGTTAATGGGTGTAGATAAGTTTCGAAAAATAACCAGGAAATTTTACTAAAACGTATAGATGCAAGAGTAAATTCTGTAATTTCCCTCTTTTTGTTTCTCTTATTTTGTGAATACGTGTAGGTAAATTTCCTAAAATAAAGGGTAAATTTTATTTGAACACAAAACTACAAGAGTAAATTATGTAATTTCTCCCTTCGTATCTCTCTTATTCTGTGAATAGGTGCAGTTAAATTTCCGAAATAACTTTTACTAAAATGTACTGATTCAATAATAAATAATGTTCTCCTATAAAATAGAAATCCTTTATATCATGAGAAAAATAAATAAATACCTTTAGAGTATATGAATTTGATTTTTTTTATTTACTCTTAATTAATATTTTTTTAATTAAATAATTATATTAATTAAAAAAATATTAATCAAATATAAAAAATAAAAATACAGATTCATACACTTTAAGAGTAAATTCAACAATACCTTCAGCTCTCACACTTTGTTCACGAACATCAATGAAAGAGATTATAAATTTTGAGGTACCCATGCTAATTTAAAGAAGATAAGGGGTTTAATCAATAATTCTAAATTTCTCAACTCCAAAAGTTTCTTCCTCAACTGAACTCTCAGCCATGCCTATGCCCTTTCTCCCGCTTTCTTCTTTTTCCCTCCCTCCGAGAAATCAAATCAATGCTTCACAGCCGACCAACACAACAACCCAATCTCCCATTTCGAATCCCAAAACCCCATCAAACCCGAACCCCATCCCAATCCCACTCTCAACTCCATTTTGACGTCTCATTGCCAAAACATCAAATTCCTCCATGGCTGTCTCTGGTTTCGACCTTGCGTTCTCTCGCCCAAGACCCGCCTCAAGTCTCATCCTACGCAGCCATTTTCCAGTCCCTGACCGGAAAAAACTTGCTCCGACTAGGCCGCCAGGTCCACTCCCACATGTCTCTCCGCGCGCTCGAGCCCGACGCCTTCCTCGGCGCCAAGATGATCGCCATGTACGCCAGCGCAGGCGATCTCCGCTCCGCCGTTGCTGTTTTTCGTCGCATTAAATACCCTTCTGCGCTTTTGTGTAATTCGATCATTCGGGCTTATTCCTGGCATTGGTTTCCAAAGAAAACTATTGGAGTTTACTTTCGGATGCGTTCTTTAGGCCTCAAGGCCGATCATTTTACTTACCCTTTTGTGTTAAAGTCTTGTGCCGATTTGTCGGATGTTAGGATGGGGAGGTACGCTCACGGGTTGAGTTTGAGAACTGGGTTTGAGGAGGATTTTTACGTTGGGACTTCTTTGATAAATATGTATGTCAAGTGTGGTGGAATAGGCGATGCACGTAAGATGTTCGATGTAATGACTGTGAGAGATATTTCGTCTTGGAATGCCCTCATTGCGGGGTATATGAAAATCGGAGAGATTCGTCTTGCTGAGGATTTGTTTGGAAGGATGGTGCGTAGGAATATTGTTTCTTGGACTGCCATGATTTCGGGATACGCTCAGAATGGGCTTGCGGGGCAAGCGTTGGTTTTGTTTGATAAAATGTTGGAAGACGATTCGGGGATAAAGCCCACTTGGGTAACTATAATGAGTGTTCTACCCGCTTGTGCGCATTCTGCTGCACTTGAGCGTGGGAGGGAGATCCACAAGTTGGCGAGTAGGATTGGTTTGGACTCTGATGTCTCTGTGCAGAGTGCTCTCATTGCGATGTATGCTAGGTGCGGGAGTCTTGCTGAGGCTTGTCAATGTTTCGATAGGATACATCAACATAAGAAGGATTTGGTCGTTTGGAATACCATGATCTCTGCTTATGCTTCCCATGGACGTGGATTAGAATCCGTGTCCACCTTTGAGGACATGATCAGGGCCAGAATTCAACCAGATATTATCTCATTTACGGGGTTGTTATCGGGATGTAGCCATTCTGGTCTTGTTGATCTTGGCATAAAGTACTTCAATCGCATGAAGACAATGTACAATGTAGAACCAGAAGTTCAGCATTGTGCTTGTGTCGTTGATCTTCTGGGCCGAGCAGGGAGATTAGTAGAAGCAAAAGAGCTTATCGACAAAATGCCAATGCAAGCAGGAGCAAGCGCATGGGGTGCTCTATTAGCTGCTTGCAGGAAACACCGCAATTTAGAACTTGCCGAGGTTGCAGCCAAAAAGCTGTTTGTTTTAGAACCATATAGCAGTGCCAACTATGTCCATCTCTCAAACATGTATGCTGAGGCTGGCATGTGGAAAGAAGTGGCCAACCTGAGAGATCTTCTAAAATATCGAGGCATAAGGAAGACTCCCGGGTGTAGTTGGATCGAGGTCAACGGGAAAGCTCATATGTTTCTTGGTGGAGATACTTCTCACCCTCAAACTAGAGAAATCTATATGTTCTTGGAATCGTTGCCTGAGAAGATGAAGCAAGCTGGTTATGTACCCGACACGAGTCCTGTTTTGCATGATCTTAGTGAAGAGGAGAAAGAACATAACCTTACCAGCCACAGTGAAAAGCTTGCCATTGCTTTTGGACTCCTAAATACTAGTCCTAGTACCATTATTCGTGTGACGAAGAATCTTCGTATCTGTGTTGACTGTCACACAGCCACCAAATTCATATCGAAAATCTTTCGACGTGAGATAATTGTCAGAGACCTGAACCGGTTCCACCACTTTACAGATGGCTCCTGTTCTTGTGGAGATTATTGGTGATCAACATGTTGGGGGAAAGGAAATGGAAAGTTTGTAATATTATTGGGATTACATTTCTCTACTATCATTATACCATAACCATGATTCATATCTTCGACGGCGATGCGAGATTCAGCTACATTACATTAGTTTTGCCACAGGGAAGAGACGAAGACAACTGAGCAAACGTTTGTGAAACTTGGGACTGACTTGTAAAATCTGTGCAAAGGGCACAAATATTGCCCTTTTTCTAATTATGGAATTGATGGAAGCTCACTTAACTAACAGTTTGTTTGGGCTGTCTAATATTATTTCTCTAGTCACCTCATCTCAGGATGACTTGAACAGTTGAACCCCCATCTTCATAAAATGGCAGAGATGGAAGATAGATGTGTTGTAAACAGAAATAGTGGTTTATTTTTTATTTTATTTTTTTCATGTAAGTAACAGAAATGGTGTTGTGCGTGTTGCTTTTAGGCTAAAATATTTTGGTGCATGTATTTTAGGAAATAGGATTGACTTTTAGCTTAGTCTCTGGATTACAATGATTTAATTCTTGAGCTTTCTTTATGTGCTACTCAATATACCATTGCACGTGATTTTCTTTCTCTGAAAAGGGAATTATATTTCAAATTAAGTAAATACAAACACCAATAATGACCCATACGGTTTCAAACTATAGGAAACTACGACTGTGGTGGATAATATGTTCCACCAGTTGACTTGCATGATGCTTAAGAAGAGTTTTGAAAATGGATCCCAAAAAAAGTACCTAAACAGTCGAGCATATGCATGGCTTAAAAAAACCAAAAAAAAAAAAATCCGATCCATCAACCTAACACTAAAAAACAATGAAAACACACTACTAAATTGGAATAAAAACCACAATTATTAAAAATCTCAACATATAGAAAAACAAAAGAAAGTTCCACCGTTGAACCAAAATTTTGCTCGAGACCAACAAACAACACTAAAATTAAAAAGAAAAAAAGAAGAAAAAGGCACATAAAATAACTTGAAATGACAAATGATAATTTAAATGAGTTTTTTATTTTATTTTTGGTTGGAAATGAAATGAGAGATTGAAATTAAAAAACATATTATTAGGGGATTTTTTTGTTGTATTTTCATGTCCTTTTTTTTTTGCTACTCATTTTTCATGTCACTGTTGTATCACTGCACTGTCTCTCTCTCTCTCTCTGTTTTTAATTCTTAGCTTTTTTAAAGCGTGATTAGTTTGATTTGTAAATTTGCAATTTCTCATAAATTCGCTAGAAACAAGACACTTTTATTAAATAAAAAAAAATAAAAATAAAACTCGAAAGCTATATATATTTTGCCCAAGTTGCGCTTCAATTCCATCTTAGAAAAAATCATAAAATATAGTGAAGAAGATACATTCCATGTCTTCTGCCGGCGAAAACCTAAGCGAAACCGAAATGGAGGAGGACAAGAAGAAGAAGGACGAGAGCGAAATCGGAGAAATCGAAGAAACAGCTATGGCGAGCTCCGATGGATCGTCTCCGACTCCGAATCGGAACCCTAGTTCGACTCCAAAGACCGTGAGGACGAAGGTCCCGGAGGTGGAGGTCCACCTCTTCCGGCGAGGCAAAGGCCCGATCGATGTCTTCAAGTCGAGCCTCGGCGGTTGGGACCAGGACCAGTTGGAGGTCCGGAATATCCTCGACAAGTACGGCCTCAAATCGCTCTTCGCCTTCAATCCTGCCTCCGGCCGCGGCGTTCCGATTCGGTTCCATCCGAGGAACGGAAGATCGATCTTGCCTTACAAAGATGGATCCGTGATCTACGTCGATGGAGAGCCCAAGGTTCGTGATTTATATCTCTTTAATTGCTTCGAATTTTCGTTGATTTGACTCTGAGCTTCTATATTTATTGATTTTTTTTTTGTTGGATTTGATTGCGATTCTGTTTGGTTGTTGAGAAATTTGAAACTGAGAAGAGGAAAGAAATGTTTGAGGATCAATTTGTTAAACTGTATGGATTTGGTAAGATGACGAGACAAGAATCTTCATGGAAATAGAGGGGAATGGGTGCTAAGCTTAGTACTTATTTCGTTTCGAAGAAACAGAACTGAAAGAGTCTGTGCGTCTGTCGCGGACTTGTTTGATTCTTTTTGGTAATCTAGCTCGTAGATAAGAACCAATCTATAGCTTCTTACACTCTAAAAACTAATTTTTAGTATGTGTAATCTAGTTATGTTTTGATCAACTGGAAGCTGAGACTTATCTTTGATATGGGAAGGTAAAGAAGAATTAGGATTTAGTAAGAAAGATATTCGTGATCCTTTTGATATAACGGTGACACGTAGAGGCGTACTGGTTTAGCATTTCGCTCTCATTTCAACTATATCGCTGATTCTCTGAATATTGGACGATGACAACCTTTTACTGTTTCCAAAGATGGTTCTTCTATTGTTAAACATCCTTAGCACTAGCAGTAAGGATATCAGAATAGAATTGACGGCCTGGTTACAGTAGAATAAGAACTTACCAAAGTCAGAGCATGATTACCAAGTTATAGCAATCTAGCTCAGGTAACATTTCTAAAAGAAGCATGAGACTTGTCCAAATTCAGAGTCTTGACCAAATTTTAAAGGAAGAAATCAGTTTGAGTTGGATACTATGTTGCCTTTTGGTTTTCGTTTTGAATGTATTAGTCATGCTGATGTTTTGTAACTATAGGATTTCAGATTGCTGTTAGTCTTAGGTGTTTTTTTTTCCTTTTATTTTTCTTTTTCGCTATTTTCTGTTGTTTTGCTGTGATGGACCTCTCATCCATCTTGAAACTTATGTATTTATTTTGAATCAATTAAGTTTCTTTTGTTCTTTATCAAATAAATAAATAAATAACATTTCTAAAGGAAGCATGAGTCTCGACCAAATTCAGAGTTAACTATAAGATCATTTTTGAGTCTACGGAGAATTACCACGAGTGTTGAATAATTTGAGTGATATCAAATCTTGCATGAGTATTTTTGTTTTTGTTTTTGGATGATATAAGATCTTGCAGGAATGTTTTTTTTTTTTTAATCATCTTTTGGCTGTGATGGTTGAAGTATGGCTGACTTCCTCTTCTTTCCCTCTTTTTTTTTTTTACAGGATTCCTTGATTAAACCAGTGACCAAGATCTTGTTAGGGGTAGCAGTCATGACCCTACTGATAACTTTCGTTTTAAAGGAAACACCACAATGGATGCAGAAATTAAACGTTTTTGGTGGAAACTTCCCTCCATGGATCCTTGCTTGTGTGGTTATTGTTTTTACTCGCATGAGGAAGAGAACAAAAGACTTGCTACAAAAGCATGGTTGGTGAACGGAGACCACTTAGATTCTTTAGCATGGAGTAGAGTTTCTCCTAGTGTTTACAAGTTCTCTTGATACATTTATTTTGCGGTCATCTTACAGCTTGTCTAAGTTGAGTGTGTGAAACATTTATAATTATACGATCCTCTTTATAATTTTCTTGCCTGACGGTAATTTTTTCGCTGTCATTATAAATCTGCAAGAAGTTGAGCAACGCTCTCATATAATATAACTGCAGTTTCTTTTTCTTATTTCCTTTATTTATTCATTTGTGAATATTGAGCTTTCATTGAACAGACTACAGAGCAAAAACCAGAGAGCAAATACAGTAGTCCAAAAAAAAAAGAAAAATCGAACTTTCGAACTCAGAAGAAGGGAACACTACAGAGTTCTGAAGATGACAAAAAACAAAAGCAACACCAGTGTTCTGAAGATATAAAAGGCCAGTGCCTCCTCGCCTTCTTGAACTTCTCTCTTGATGATTTCGTTGAATTAACCCACATATTCGGAATACTCCAATTACTATTCCTGGCTACCACAGCCATGGTCACAAACTCAACACTGCAAGCTGCATCACAAGAAGCACTATTGAGTCACCCCTGGTGGTGAAGTCGAGTTATGAGTACCTCAGCCGTACTCCCTTCCTGTTGTTAGAAGAGTGGCACGAGGAGTGGAAAAACTCATAGAGGTTGCAGTTAATAGAATAACTGGCATTTGGCAGAACTCCTCTGGATAGAAGATTTCATGGAGGTTGCAGTTAATAGAATAACTGGCATTTGGCAGAACTCCTCTGGATAGAAGATTTCATGGAGGTTGCAGTTAATAGAATAACTGGCATTTGGCAGAACTCCTCTGGATTTGCAGTTAATAGAATAACTAGTATTCGGCAGAACTCCTCTGGATAGAAGATCTCATGGAGGTTGCAGTTAATAGAATAACTGGCATTCGGCAGAACTCCTCTGGATAGAAGATCATTGCGGCTTCACCAAATTTGGTTCACCACGACAGCACTGAGGGATTGAACTGGTTCTGCACTGAGACCGGACATTGAACTGCATTCACTGGATCTGCATAGGCACTAACCATTGTACTAGAGTTCCAAAAATGATCCCTTGCCATCTAACCTTCTACATGTTAGAGAGATTGTAATATATCTCTCAATTTTGATATCACAAAAATTGGCTTAAAACACATTCGGGAAGAGTGGGCGAACAAAAGCACGCGCTGCAGCGCACAGCAGCGTGCGCTGCAGCGCGCTTCTTGGGCGCTGCAGCCTGCGCAAAACAGACCTCTCGGGTCTGCTTTGCTAAGCTCGCGCGCTGCAGCGCACAGAAGCGTGCGCTGCAGCGCACTTCTTGGGCGCTGCAGCGCAAATTGTTAACGGAAAATGTGTTTTTGTGTGTTTTAGTGATCTGAAAAGGTCTCGAACCATTGCATCTATTTGTGATATGTTTTCTCACATATCTGAGCACTTATTAACAATAAAAATAACTTTTGATATAAGTGCATCAGCATATAAAAGATAACCTTCAAATTGAAAATGTATCTTTATGTGAAAGGTTATAACACTTAAGGAGGATGGATGCATCCCTGTCTTTATTCGATGGACTTCAGAAAATACAGATTATTATTGTTCTGGAACTCAATATTTTTGCTGGATATTGTGTTCAAGGGTTTGTTGTATCTTGGGGGTAATTTGCCATTTTAGAACTCGTTAGCAAATTTTGATAAGTGGGGGCAAATAAAACTTTAAAAGAAAGTATTCCGATACGCCTCAAACCTTCTTTCTGCATTCTCTATTCTTTTCATCCTCCTAATTCCAAATTTCTCCAACACTACATCCTCAACCCAACACGCTCTCGCAATTAGGCAATCAATAAACAAACTGCATTCATCTTCTTCATATTGATTACAAAGGGGGCAGTTGGTGCTAGAAATCATAAATTTCATAAAACATCACAAAACATCTTGAATGATTTTGCTTTTACTGTTTACGTGCATCACAATTCACAGGGCATGCACAAAAGTTTCAGAATTTCACACAAGGCCAATTAAATTTTATTTCCCTTAACTTCACACATGCATGTGGCTATGCACAGAGAAGAGAAACAAGAAATTTATTTTATGCCACTTTGGTGGTAAGCATTTGGGTTCAACAAAATTACAACCCATTTAGCACTTGGGATTCAATAAATTACCATCCCAATTTTTTTGTGCATGAAGAGTTCAAAAGATTACGACTATATTTTTAGAGAGGTTCAAAACATTACAACTTCTATTTTTGCGCTTTAAATTCAACAAATTACAATCTCAATTTTTCCTGTGCAAAATGAGGAATACTAACCAAATGGTATAGATCCCAAAATAATGAATCTTTGTTTTATTATTATTATTATTATTATTATTATTATTATTATTATTATTATTTAAAGTTTAGGGAGAGTACTAACCAATGGTATAGAACTCCCCAAAACTTGCACTGCATTATTTGATTTCATCATTTTTTTATGGGGTTTAATAACCAAAGGTATAGAATCCCAAACTTTACTGCATTTAGAGTAAGTATTCGTATTATAATTCATAACTCGTTACAGTATTTTTTTTTAATAAAAAATACACATAAATTAAAAATAATTTTAAATTATAATTCTAAACTTATAAACTAAACATTCACGTATAATCTGTAAAAGAAAAGAATTGAGAACCATATTAGCAATATGTATATATGAATTACCTTCGGTACCTTTCTTTGGAGGGAACCGTACTCTTTTTTTTTTTTTCACTTTTTCTCACTTTCTCATAATTCTGACAGAGTATCGTCTAAGGAGTAAAAGTCTGACCCCATTCCTTGTATTTAGAGCTGTAAGAAGTCACTCCGAATCTGATGAATTCAGCCAAGCCGAGCCTACTCAAAAATTACGGATTTTTAATTTTTTATTTAATTTTCAGTTTTAATTATGCCTAACCTGCACTGCGCGGGTAGGGACGCAGGGTGGGGTTACATGAACCCGAGGTAACCCTACCCGGCCGAACATGTTCAAAGTAGATAAAATAATGTCCAACACTTCAAATTCTTACTTTCATAAGTTTATGGACTTTATGCTTTTAAACTGTTAACTTATTTATGTTTTGGATTCACAGTTTGTGTAAGAAATATTTGTATGCCATAGTTGTTGAATTAGGACATTCTTTATTTATATTGGAAGTATTTGATTTCAAAGTGAGTGTTTTAATTGTTCACCTTACATTTAGACCCCCTCTTGAAGGAAAGACATGTTCTGTTTCATAATGATTTCTTCTGTAACAAGCACATATTTATTGACTAAAAAGTAATCATGTGGTCCTTGAGATCACTCTTGCTTTATGCATATTGTGATAATTGGAAAGGTTCGATCATGCTTACATTTAGGGAGAAGATGCAAAGTATTTTCGGCCAGAAAGATGGCTCAATAATGGAGTTTTTCAACTACAGTACCAGCCATACAAATCCAATATCACCATAGCCCATTAGAGTCGACCAAGCCTTTCACCCGAGTAACTCGAGTAACCCGAGGTCACCTGATAGGTTACGGGTTTGTAGGCTTATGCCACAATTTGTTATTAGTCTTCATATTTATTATGCCGCAATTTTGTTGCGTAATTATTTACTACAATAGTATTTGCATATATCATTTATTGCTCATTTACTACAATAGTATTTTATCATTTATTTGCATATAAGAGCCTCTTAGATTAAAATTGATGAAGTCATAGATTAAAATTAGTTTTCACCAACCCGAGTAACCCGACTCTACCTGAGATCATCCGAAAGGTTGCGGATTTGTAGACTTAAGAAAGTGTCGCGGCCTAAAATTTTCTCAACCTGTACTGATCGGATAGGCTCAATTCTACCCTACCCAGTCGATTTTACACCCCTGCTTGTATTGATGTTGCCTATTTATAGGCAAAAGGTGGAGTTGATTATAATCCCCACGTGCATTCTTTTGGTGGGAGTTATTATCCCATAGATAATGGGATTAACTTCTGGGTGGTCATTTTTTCCCTTCTTAATCCACATCATTCCATTTCATTGGGTCACTCACACAATCCTCCAACATGATTGGTTGTTTTTTCTTCATAAGGATTATCGTCATCGACTCATCATGCTTTATTTTGATTAGTTAGCTTCCCTTCATGCGGATTGCTATCATATGAAATAACTTCTAAAATTATTATTTATTTATTATTTTTTTTGTGTTCAACAATAATCCCAAGTCACTTGAAGACATCACAAACCACCTTGTTAAGGTTCTGTACAGAGAAAATAGACACCAACCAAAGTATGCTTTACAACCATATCTCAGTTTTGCAATAGCATCACTCACTGAGATCTATAGACCGTACAACATCTTCACTGTTAGTAGCAGTCGATATTTTGAAGAAAGAAATGCAACGACCTCCACTCCAGCACCATCATTACTCCAGAACACACAAGGTCGACAGGATTACGACCCAGTACTAGTTCAAGATTCTTTAGACCCAGACTATGACTTACCACCCAACAAACGACAGCGACCACGGTACTATCATGAGCATGGCTCAATGAACTCTAACTCATCAGATTACAACACCCATTACAACTTGTCTCCTAGTTGAAAAGAAGTTCTCTTCAGCTGTCATCTTTTACTCGGGACTTGAAATCTTATCCCATATAAAGTTTGTTTAAAAGTGTGCCGACCACTTTGTCAAAAGTAGTTTTTATCTTTTGTAAAATAAGTCAAAAATGAAATAGTGTGCCGACCACATCGTTAAAAGTAATTTTATCTTTTGTAACATAAGTCAAAAGTTGAATAGTGTGAATCTTATCCTGTCATATGATATTGGAGTCTTATAAACCCAGCCTCAGCTATATAAGGCGAGATATTTCTCTTGAAGGGACAGAAGTCCTCGAACCAGAGAACTTTGTAAAAAAAAGTTTGCTCAGAAATAATATCATGAGTTTTTAAATTTTTTTTATTCCTCTCTGAAATTATGAGTTCCCTTCTTTATATCATAATCGTTATCCTCCTAACTAGTATGCTCTGTGCTTGCCTCTAATGGAGGATCTGCACATCATAAAGTTTAAACCTAAAATTCTTGCTACGATCTCCATAACCATAACTGCTTAAGTACCTGTAGCACTAAGCCAAAAGTCATAGTGAACGCGGTGGCTATACAGTGATACGAATTCTTGATTTTATGATTTTTGGAGCTCTCAACCAGTAATGATATCAGGCTTGCACAAAGTCATCCCAAGCACGAGTAGCCAAGAAACTACTAACAGTGGGAAGGAATTTCAATGGAACTCGTAGGGTTACTCGCACAATCGAGTTCATCAGAGCCGCCTTCCCCGCCTTAGATCGAGTTCATCAGAACCGCCTTCCCCGCCTTAGATAAAAGGTTTGCAAACATTCTAATCAAGAAACAACTCTCCGCCTTGGGGAATACAAAATTGGTCACTTTACTCGGAGGCAAGAAAAGATGATTACCCAGATACGTGTGTTAAAAGCTAACCCCGATTTATGAGAAAAACACAGGAGCACTTTCTTCCTTGGATATCATAAGTGCCAACTTTTTTGCTTGAACCATAAGAAAATACTTGAAAGAAAAACAGATTATGTTCGGAAGTACTGTCAAATGGCATCCAAGCATTTATGATTTCTCCATTTATTTTGGGTCCGCAAAGACCAATCAGGATTACATAGAACTTTTTACGTATATTAATTTGAAAGGTGATCAACTTTATGAAATCTGAATATAGAATAATCCTCCAGATTTCACCCTGAACATAAGAATTATTAGCTTGTCAAAAAATCTTTCATGGAAGGAACAGCCTCGTATAAGAATTGTAGCAGATTACTGTTTGCCATTCCATTAAATAAGATATAAACACGCACAGAGGGGAAAAAAAAAAAAAAAAAAAAAAAAAACCTTTAAAAAAGCCCCAAAAAAAATTTAGTTTTTTCTCTTCATGGAAAAAAAAAAAAAAAAAAAAAAAAAAACATTGTTCCTTTGCCAAAGTTAAAACCTCGTGGCAACTTAACAATGGGTTTCCATAATTTAACTACCTTAAAGTTCAATTCAATCTTAACTAAAACAGCTAGCAAAGTGGCAAAAAATAGTCGAGCATGACCAATACGTAGCACGTAGTGTACAATTGAACAAAAATGGAGATGAATCAGGACCACAACAAAAAAAAATGAGAAAGCAACCAAACAATCAGAGACAAATCTGTATGATGATTCAGCAAGCACAACCACCTCTTTGCTCAGACTCTGAAATGGCCTCGGGGATGCCCTGGAAATATCTGCATAAAATACGAAAAATAAGGATCAAAGGGAAGGCCTAAAAAATCCGTTTTCGCATCACCTTGGCAGCTCCAAAGTTAAAAATTATAGCGTTAGAGGATTACAATTGTTAGATTATCTCGGTAACATAATACAAGAGTTTATGGCATTAGAGCACTGCCTAGAAAACCATTATATTAGCCAGAAAGGAAAGGAAACCACAAACTAGATTATAATCGGCATAATTGAAAGTTTCTCAAAGATGCTCTTGAGTGTATCAGCAACCAAATCAGTTTATTAAAGAACAATGACCAATTTTTAATGCAGAAGCAAGGATCTCGACCGCACATCGAACCACAATCACAAAGTAAAGGAAAATATAGAGTAAGAAGGGAGTCAAAAAAACCATAAAGAGTAAGCAATCAATATAAAAAAGATACCAAAAAAAAAAAAAAACCCCACACACACACACAAAGGGACATCAATTATACAGCGTTATTAAAGAAGCGCACATCTTACTCTAAGGCTAAGGCCGAGCCACCCATACGTTTTAATGAAATAAATTATGGTAGGAGAAGAAAAAGCAAGCAGATCAAAAAAATTTAATAACGAGGAGAAATTAAAAAAAAAAAGTACCCTATATTTTTCTCTAGATTTTAGAAAACATCTATAGATAGCATATCATCACAAGAAGTTCTGTATACCACAACCAAGAAACACTACTCCATAAAGTTAGGTATATTGTCAATAGAGAACTATCGCAAGGAAATGGAAATCGCATTGATAATTAGAAACCAAAGAACAATTGTATTTAAAGAAATGCAATGAAAAAGGATAATCAACTAGAGAAGAAATATATTCAACATCAATCATAAAAATGACGTGTTTTTTATTTATAAAACACACATCATATGCGGAATTCATGAGCCCCTACGTTGATTTTTCCTTTCTTTCATGCAATTACATGCAACTATTCTTTTTATTCCCCTTTCCCTAAATCATACAAATTTGCATGTATTTTAAACCCTCGAATGATTTTAGGTCATTTAATGCTACTTGAGATTACTATAAAAACTGAAAGACCATTCTAATGGTCATAACAGAAAGAAAAGGAACTTGCATCATCAAATAGATTTCATTTGATTCGAAGCATCTTTTAGGTTGTAAACTAGCATACTCTATACTTATCAGAATTTAAAATAGTCTTTTCAGTGTCAAAATCATTATCTATATGGCGCCAATATGCAAATATTGGCTAGTCACTTGAGATTCTGACCATGGAGTGCCTAGTGAACTCTTTTTCTTTTTTCTTTTTATTTTTTTCATCCTTCGAGAAACTTACAACTTATGTCACTCCACTAGAATATTGGTCATTGTTTCATGTGTGGAATATGCCTTAATATTCCAGCATATAAAATTACAACTGTTGTTCCTCCATCAGAATATACCTAGTAAAATATGTATAGGATAAATAAATATATAAATCAGCCTGCCCTCAAGAGTCAACTTACATATCCTGCTCATTTTCATTGGCTAAAGCAGTCTTCGCAATAGAAAAGAATGCAGCATCGACATTGTAATCCTCCTTAGCTGAAGTCTCAAAGTAAGTTATATTCCCCTTTGAAGCACACCAGTCCATTGCTTTCTTCTCAGAAACCTGTAGAGACAAGTATTAGAATGGCATTTTAAGCGAAAACACTATAGACAGAACTGCAACTGTGTATGTCATATCCTTACCACTCTACTATTACCACCATCAATATCAATCTTGTTTCCAAGCAATATAAAAGGAAAATTCCCAGGGTCTTCAGGGTTGGCCTGAGAGATGAGAAACACCAGCATGAACATACGAAATAAAAAGATTAGCATGTCCCAAAAGTAAGATATCCTATAATTCCAAGAAACTAAAGAGCGACTTTTAAGATAGTAGACTGATATTTAACTCTGGATTGCCATTAAGGAAAAAAAAAGTAAATGAATAGGAGAAGTCAAAGCAAGCATCAAATTTAGCATTGTGTTAATTGGCACTTGGTCTAAATGTCTACAGAACATGGCATAGACGTATCTTACTCAGATGCCTCATCAAAAAAGCTCAATTTCTGCTAGTGGAGCTTGGATATTAACCAAAATTCAAAATTTTCTTTCCTAGAATATTATTCTTACAAATTATTAAAATCGGGATTTCATTTGTTCTTTTAAAAGTTTAAATGTCCCGAGCAACTAAGCAAGTTCAAGTTTAAATGTGCGCCCAGCCAAATCCTACACTGCATGGGGTGCATAAAAGTCCCCATTATTCAGCAAGCACATGGCCTAAGAATTGAGAGCGAGATCAGATGAGACCAAAAGTACAGGCCTGATTACTTGACTAAACCTTCAGGACCATCGCAGTTAGGAGATAAGTGATGAAGAGAACAACTACAGCATCCAGCAACAAAAAACAAAGGAAATCATCAAAATTGGAAAAGCCCATGAAACTTATAGTTTCTTAACTTCACCTTATTGGTACAAACAATAAATTTTATTACAAATAATGTGACTCCAGCACACCAACTTATATAGACGACCATCGAAAACAAAGGAAAAACGGGTGTATGTGTTTTTTGTTTTTGTTTTTTTTTTTTTTTGGGGGGGGCGATGGGGGGCAAACAATCTAAACGAGCAGCAAACAAAACATCGATAGCTCAACAGCCCAAAATGTTTGGCTGTTAATTTTTAACCAAATTATATCATTAAGCGGATTTCAGGTTACTCCTAAAGGCTGCATGGTGTTAGCAAAGGTTACAGTTTACACTTCAACCATACCACCCTGAAGATTTTGTAACTAATTTACAACTCTAAATACATTTATACTTGCCACATCTGCAAGTTCTCGCTGCAACTTCTACATGCTTTTTTTTTTTCAAGAAGGAAAGAATGCGTATGGTAATTACCCCTAACAGAAATTAAATTACCCTGCTTGCCCTTGACTCTTCATACAAATAATTTTTACTTGTATCGTACCACAGCAAGATCTGAAGCAAAGGAGTAAATAAAGGAGGCAGCCAACAGAAGTACTTATTACAAGAAAGTACAGAGTAATTAGTAACAGAGTAAAGGTTACAAAACCCACAGCGTAACATGCAAATGGAATGATTCAAAGTAGATGCAGAAACGAAAGTGCAATGCTTACCAAACAAGACAATTAGACAAATACACTGCTCTTTCCATACGCCAGCCTCTATACTCAAGACATCTATAATAAGTTACACTACAAAGTCCCAAAACTAAAGACAGAATATCTACTGAAGAAACCCCTTGAGATAGGCAAAAGATAGCTCACCAAGAATGTAAACTTGTAGACCACTGGGAACAGAGTCCCCAAAATTCGAAGTTTTATCACAAGAAACATTGGAATTATTTGAATCACGGGTAATTGAGAGACAAAAACCAGACTGAAACTACCACATAAATTAAGAAATACAAGAGACAAAAACCAGACTGAAACTACCACATAAATTAAGAAATACAAGAGACAAAAACCATATAAGACTAACTAGCGGATCACTCTATGAAATAAGAATAAACCTGTTTGAGAAACTCCTCATGCCAAGTATCGAGTGTATCAAACGACCTCATCACGTTAACATCATAAACCAGGACACAACAATCCGCCCCTCGGTAAAAGGCAACGCCAAGACTTTGAAATCTTTCTTGCCCAGCAGTGTCCCATATCTACGAATATGAGAAAATGAAATCAACAAACAAAATCACCCAACACAACCAACTTGAAATTCAAGTCATTAAAAAACATTGAAATACCATTGAACAACAAAACCCACTTGAAGAGTGACGAGCCTGTCATCAATTTGGAGTTCTTTGGTCACAAAATCCGCACCTATTGTCGCTTTGTACTGCTGACTAAACCTCTTATGCACATATCTAAGTATTCAGTTAAAGACCCACAACTAGAACACATAACAAAAAGCTAAATTAAAATCAACTCTGAACACGATGAAGTTTTAAGAATTCAGACATAATGCAAAAAATTAATTGAGGGATTTTAAGCGAAAAAAACATTAATTAGAAATCTTAGCAAATATTAAATCTCAAAATTAGAATAAAAATCTAAAGTAATTTCATTTTCACTTGATTAAACAGGTGAAGGATACCGATTCATCAACGACGTCTTGCCGACCCTGACATTTGAACCCAAAAAAAAACAACAACAATTAAAACCCAAAACCAAAAACTAAGAAAATGTTTCCACTGATGAATGTGCGATCACATACATACATACATACATACATATATATACATATATATGCATATATAGGAAGAAAAACACACATTATTCAAAAGCACCCGTACAAATGCTATTTACGAAAAAACCCTAAGGGAAGGAGGCGAGTGCGTACCCACTGTCGCCGAGGACGATGACCTTGAGCAAGGTTCGCCGACGCATTGCCATGGCGGACAATCCTCCTGATGTTTTGTTTTGATGATGAAAAATCCAAATCCAAATAAAAAATTGCAAACAAATTACGCAGAAAAGGCGATTCCTTTGCCGATCGCTGATTGGTGACTTTTTATCTTCGTAGTCCTCGAAAGTTTCTTTATTTTTTATTTTTTTCTTTTTCCTTTACTCTTTTTTGTTTCAGAGAGAGAGACCGCCAATTTCGATCGGACTCAGAAATGTGTTTCTTTTTTATTTTTTAAATGAGAAGTATTGTTTTTCTTTTCTTTTAGAATAAGAACTTTCTTCGGTATATGATGGTTCATCAAGTTTTATATCTGTTAAATTTATATAAAATTACGTAAAAAAAATTAAAAAGATACATAAATTTACAATTAGAAAAATCTGAGTTGTCAGCCGCATAGAATCTCTTTTTAAAATAATGATGTTTTTTGGTTGCGTAAAGGGAATTATTCAAACAACTTTTTCCTTTACTCTTTTCTGTTAAAGAATTTGGGGAACCGACTTTTTTTGTACACGTTGGTAGATGCCACGCACTACATTATAATTAGATAAAATAAATTATTTGGGTCCACTTATCCAAAATTAAAAGTATGGCTGGTGGGGCCGTTGAGAGCATTAAAAAAATTATTATCACTACTGTCTTTTAACCTTATGATCATTTCTCTACTAAAAATTACTATTACAAATAATTCATTCTTTCTTACATTTCAATATTGGTTTTGATTTTTGCTTCTATTCGCTTATTTATAACTCCTAATATTTTTCAGGTTTAGTTAGAGGACGTTTAGTTTATGTATTTAGAATTATTTTCATTTTACGTGTATTTTTTTGTGAGAGAAAACATTATAGAGAATTATGAATTATGATTTAAAATTAAGAACGAATATAGAAAATAAACGTTCCTTAAATGTCTCGGTTATGGTGTCAATCCCTCATACTTTTATTTGGAAATTTTTTATATTATAGATAAATCATTCTTCCTTTTCTTTTAATATTGATTTTGATTTTGTTTTTATTATGTTAATTATAATTCTAAATTTTTTCAGGTCCGAGAGAGAGACCGCCAATTTCGATCGGACTCAGAAATGTGTTTCTTTTTTATTTTTTAAATGAGAAGTATTGTTTTTCTTTTCTTTTAAAATAAGAACTTTCTTCGGTAAATTAATATGATGGTTCATCAAGTTTTATATCTGTTAAATTTATATAAAATCACATAAAAAAAATTAAAAAGATACATAAATTTACAATTAGAAAAATCTGGGTTGTCAGCCGCATAGAATCTCTTTTTAAAATAATGATGTTTTTTGGTTGCGTAAAGGGAATTATTCAAACAACTTTTTCCTTTACTCTTTTCTGTTAAAGAATTTGGGGAACCGACTTTTTTTGTACACGTTGGTAGATGCCACGCACTACATTATAATTAGATAAAATAAATTATTTGGGTCCACTTATCCAAAATTAAAAGTATGGCTGGTGGGGCCGTTGAGAGCATTAAAAAAATTATTATCACTACTGTCTTTTAACCTTATGATCATTTCTCTACTAAAAATTACTATTACAAATAATTCATTCTTTCTTACATTTCAATATTGGTTTTGATTTTTGCTTCTATTCGCTTATTTATAACTCCTAATATTTTTCAGGTTTAGTTAAAGGACGTTTAGTTTATGTATTGAGAATTATTCTCGTTTTATGTGTATTTTTTTTTAGAAAAAACACTATAGAGAATTATGAATCATGATTCAAAATCATGAACAAATATAAAAAACAAACGTTCCCTAAATGTCTCTGTTATGGTGTCAATCCCTCATACTTTTATTTGGAAATTTTTTATATTATAGATAAATCATTCTTCCTTTTCTTTTAATTTTGATTTTGATTTTGTTTTTATTATGTTAATTATAATTCTAAATTTGTTCAGGTCCAGCTTATTGTCTCCAATAACTGATCTGTGATATTTATCATGTCTCATTTCTTCTTCTAAACAGTTTGATAAATCTTATGTGTTGTTTTAACATCACATGATTTTTTCTTATTTGTTCCTTGGATAGAAATAGACAATACTGGTTGGATTTCTTTCCACCATGGATTGTATCTTTTTAGATACTTTCCGTTTGCTCAAAAAGAAAAAAAAGTAGGATCATTTTCAGTTTGATTTTATATTTTAAAAACTTTTATTTTATCTCATAAATTTTAAATTATTTTCATTTAATCTTTTATGTTGTAATTTCTGTTAAAAAAATATAAAAAAGAGAATAACGTAGTTGCATGATTTTTCTATTTAAATTTTTATAAAAAAAACAGATAAAATCACAAGACTTTATTTTTTGGTATAATTTTAATAAAATTCTTACAAAAGAATTTAAATGAGATAAATTTAAAATTTAAAAGGTAAAATGTGAGTTTTTAAAATTTAAAAAGTAAAATTAGAATAATTTTAAAATTTACAGTCACTAATAAGAATAATTCAAAAAAAAAATTGAAAATAGCAAAAGGTGAAGGAGTTAGTATAAAGGTGTGTCATGTGTGGAATTGTTGGAAGGTTAAAAAGCTTGTCTAGAAAAAGTTGTTTAAAAAGCATTATTTTCTTCTTTTGGATGCTATGCGTTGAAGGTCAGCTGTCACGTTTTTTTTTTTTTTTTTTTTTTTTTTTCTTTTGATGAAATGTGATATGACATGGTTGTGAAAAGGATGCCAATAAATAACTGAGTTGAAGAATGGGCCGAATTTATTTTTAATTTTTTTGTTTGATTGTTGATAAATGGGTATAGAGCAAGGTTGGACACCAATAGGAAGCCCTAAACAACGGAAAATATAAATAGTAAAATATAAATAGCCTCATGAAAGGGAGTCTCCTTTATAAAAACTTTTTAAAAATCCATTTCAATGAATAATCTAGTAGTTTGTGAAAACAATCTACTAGATTATTCTCCAACAACTAGAACAATCGCTTTACTTTTTTTTGTTAAAAATAAAAACAATCTGGTAGATCATTGATGGTAATCTTGTGGACTACCTTTTTTGAGTGCCGGGGCCAATTTTAGTAACATATATATTGTAGACCTTTGACCAGTCTACTTAAAGGGTATAAATTTAAAGGTCAACTCTTTTGGGGCATTCCTCCAAATTACTCTAAAATAGTTTTGTTTACGAGTCCGAACTCGTTCTATTGTTTTGGTTTGAAATTTCATCCATATATTTTTTTAAAGAATCCTTATTTAATTTGATTGTGATTCTAATTGCATGGTGATAGTGGCACATTCGTAGGGGTGAGGTGCCCTTGTAGTATTTATGAACTCATGAGTTTCTTTTTTTTTTGTCAACAATTATTTAGATAATAACACTTAGTACGGTCCACTTATAGTCATAATGTTACTTTTTTCTGAAGACTCTTATGATCGATCTATTCGACAGTTTGTGTGTTCTATTTTTGTGTGTTTTCTATAAATAAATAAATAAATAAAAGGTAGCCACTAAGATGAGTCAACAAGGAGTAAGGTGCATTATGGTAATTAAGGGCCCGTCGGTTCTTTAATTCGAGTTGAGATATGATGTTGTGTGAGGATTTTTACTGTAACAAAAAAATTAGATGTGACTATTTTTGAGAGCTTTTTACTGTAACAAAACTCGAATTCTAAACTCGAATCACCAAAAAGAACGGGGCCTAAGTCTTTATAAATTCACTAGAATCAACAATTGTCATGATATAGTCAACCCATTAAGCCATTAAACCCTTTTAAATTGTTTTTAGTATGACATATTTTTTTAACACTTTTTAAATAAAAATATAATTTCATATTTTATTATTAATAAAAAAAACTTGAGGACACCATATATACTATTTTTTAAATATACATTTTATTTTTATTTAAATTTATCGAGGGATTAGCACATCTTACTAAGTTGTCACCCACTAAAAATTTAATACTATTCCAAGTCCCTTACTCAAATTTTTATTGAAAAAGAAAAACAAAAGAACATAATGAAATTATATATTTCAACTAATTATAGTTATGTTGATAAATAACTTTTTCAATTATTGAGAAATATGTAACATTAACATAAAAATTATATAATAAAAATGGGAAAAAATTGTATTCACCGTGCTAATCCATATCATGTTCAACTGGGCGTGTTATGTCATGTTGTGCTTAATTTGTGCTCATAACGTGCTCATGTTTGTTGTTGTGTCTTGTCGCGTCAGATTCACGTGCTTAAAATCATGAGCCCAGCCCACACCTCGTGTCTTGCTTAGCATGACTCAAGATAATCTTGTGTTGTATCATACCCAACTTAAAATTTGTTATGTTGTGTCGTTATGCTTATTAAGCAACTCGACCCAATTCATATTTTTATTCTTAAGATCCTTACGTACGTCATGCTTATTAGGCAACTCGTGGGATTCGCGTGTTCTGCTTACGTACGTTTTACATATAAAAAAAAGTTTATGTTCATAGATTTCTAATTTTTTAAATTTAAATTTTGTTGTAATGCAACAAAAATAAAAGGGCACTAAAATGATATTTCCATAAACTATGTATCTTTTTAAATATTTTTCAAACAGTAGGGTACCAATGCAATTTTGTAGAAGAAGCGCAGGTTTTCCAACAGGATCAACGTGGAGCTTTCATGTCCATGAGTTTCTCACTTGTCTCTTCTCCCTGCTTCCGCTTCTCCCTCTTTTGTCAAACAGTTTAACTGAATTCTCTGTTGATCTCTCCACAATTTGAGTTTTTTAAAAGATGGGGAATTCACTGGCGATAAGCTTAAAACTCATGTTTGCAGCGTTGGGTTTGGCCATGGTTTTCACTCTCGTTTATACCATCTCCACTGACGGCCATCCTTTTCGCAAAGAACTTCTTACCCCGTACGTTCTATATTATATATATATATATGTGTATATGTAAATATATTTGTATATATTATTTCTGGATATGCCGTTTTGATTTTTGTTTTTCTCATGAAATATGCCTTTTGGAATGTTGTTTCAGGTGGATGGTGGCAACTTTGGTTGATTTTTATATCAACGTCGTAGTCTTGGCGGTATGAAAATTCGAGTCTTATTATTATTTTTCGTGGGAATTAATGTTTTAATTCTGTTTTCATTTGTAGTAAATACTTCGAAACTTAGCAAATTGATCCTGAGTAATACTATCACTATGTATGATATTACAAGTTGATAGCTTAGGTTTTAATGATAAAAGAAAATACTAATAACGTTTCTTTTTAGACCCAAAAAAAAAATCATGTTTATCTGAAACTTGTCTTTCATGCTAGGCTTGGGTTTTGTACAAGGAATCCAGTTGGATCAGTGCAGTACTTTGGGTGATTCTACTTGTGTGTTTAGGAAGGTATTAAATCTTTTCCTTTTCTTAATCCCTATATTCACTATTTTTGTTTTCTTGCCATTATAGCTTCATTTTTGGCCTGTTTATGAGGAAATGATTTCTCCTATGGAGTTGCAAATCTGATATAAAAACTATTTGCTGCTTCTGAATACATATTCTTCCCAAGGAATTTACAATATGCAGCAACTAATCTATCTATATTTCCCAAATTTTTTTTTTTTTTTTTTTTTTTTTTTTTTTGCTTGCCTTGTTCTGTATGTAGTATTAAAATCTTTCCCTGGCCATAGTACCTTTTGGACTTTGTGTTGATTCAGTTGCATTTGATTTTTCAGCTACACTTAGCGTTTTCTTCAAAGCCTAGAGGGGTTTCTTAACAATTAATTTTAAGACCAGTTTCTGTGTCCTTGATACCAACTCTGAAATGAAAAATGTTATCAGCTGACATTCTATTATGCATTCTAATGTTAACTTTTGGAGTCTGTTTTGTAATTAGTTTCCAGTGATTCTTTTTAATTGTAAATCTTTCCCACTTGTTCCTTTTTTCAGCATCACAACATGTATCTACATTGTTGTGCAATTATTCAAGCTTTCACCGCAAGAATCAGCACAAGATCCCATCTATTATGCCTTGTTGCGGCATCCAAGCAAGTATGTATTATGAAAATTCAGGTTTTTGTATTATGTAGAGTTTGAGAATGCTGAGATATAAACAAGCTGTTGGAATATTTTTATGTGGACTTCTATATTCATAATAACTCATTCTAATTTGTTATTAAAACATCTTACGGACAATTTTGTTAATGTAAATTTAGTTATGCATGTATGTTAAATATCGGTTCATAATAGGATAGACACTCGGCTTGTTGACTGGCTTGAGGCCTATAGACTCCCTCTCTCATTAATGTTTTGATCAGCCTATTAGATCAAATAACCTCTCAATCTAATTAAAGTGTGAGTCTAAAATAAGAATTGTTGTTGCTATATATTTTGCGGTGTGGCCATTTTGTGGTGTGCTTGGAATAGTGTGGTAGAGGGAGAGAAGGAAGAGAGTTCATTGAACCCGCGGCTCCAGCGATTTCCGGCGACGTTCTAATGGCCCACCAACACTACCACGAGATATCCCATTTATACATGCTTCAATTCTCAATTGGTTCAATGTTTAGTTTCAACACAAGCCTGTAAGGATCAAAACCAAAAAAAAAAAAAGAAAAAAAAAGGGCTTAAAAAGCAAAATTTAGGTGGCATATGAATCTCTTATGTCAAAACAAAGCTCCCTTGAAGTTCATATAAGTATGTTGTTGATGATCAATAAATTATAAGCTTGAAACATATTGAAAGCTCAACACTTGATTACAATTTTAAATAGTACATCTCCTATTTTAATTAGGAGATGGACCAACATTAGTTTTATATCCTAACAATATCAATGTATGAATGTGCTATTGTGTTCTAAATAAATATATTGCTTGGTTGAACAATGTTTAATATCCAATATTTAAACACAACTGAAATACTTTAGTTGGCATGAACGTGGCTCACTCAAGCGTTTAGTGATTAATGGAACTCCTGAAAATCTGAACCACTCTATTATGGCTATATTTCACTGCCATTTTTCACAAGAACGATAGAGAAAGATTGGATCCTTTGTTAATAGACTGGACTTCCAAGCATCTAAATCACTTTGCTGGTTTGTCATTGTTTTTTGCACTTGCTAGTAGGTCTTCATTTTCATATATACTTGTTTTCTCCGACATCTATCTGAGAATCTCTTTTGTAGGAACAGTAATGCGGAACAAAAGACGAATCTTCCCCCTGTTATTTTTGCTAGAATTTCATTTGGTGCTTTGGGGTGTTTGATGTTTGGAACTTTGCTTTACACTATGTTGACAGATGGTTCTCCTTTTCGTAATGAGCTTTGGACCCCGTAAGTCCTCTCCACCTCTTCCCATTTTTCTTCTCTGCTCCATTTATAAAATCTAATCTTAAGTGAGAGAATGAAGTAGTAGCTATATTTGGTTGGAGTGAGAAAATGGGAATAAAAGAAGGTGCATAACTTAAAGTGTGCGGAAAATAAAGAGGAAGCAGAGTTCCTTTCTTCAATCTCTCCATATCTGGAGAGCTTAAATTTGGAGTTCTTTGAGAGATTTCAAATCCTCATCTAATCCATTACCTTGACTTTTCTCGCCTACCAAACAACCACGGGTCCCAAAATCCTTCCAGTAATCCCTTTACCACTCTCCCTCCTTCCACTGATTCCTCCGAACCAAACAAGCTCTAAAGGGTTGAATCCAAGTACATAAGATTTCCACAAGACGACAAAAAAAGAACCAAACTTTGCAAGAACCGGTCGCTTGAAGAAAAACATCCTAAGAAGGAAGTTTTCAAGAATTGGTTCACCACCTCCATGCAAGTGGACATGGCCTCTAATTGATTCACCTAGTTTAGTTGGTTCCGTAATTTTTCTGATCTTTCTTTCTTTCTTTTCTAGATGATATTGGTTTGGCTTAAAGCTTGTAGCATTTATTTCTGAAGAGACAGTTTTTTATTTGAAGTTTCTCTTTGTTCTTATTGTTTTTACCTGTTCTGTAATCGGATGAAATATTTGCAGGTGGATGGTAGCAACACTGATTGACTTCTATATCAATGTTATTGCTCTTTCAGTATGTCTCTATTCCATAAAGCACAATTTTACTTCCTTTTTTGTTTTCTTTTCAAAAAATTTCAAAAGACGTATTTTTCTCTAATTGTTATCATGTCAATATATTTCTAAAATGTTAAAATTCTCATTGATACTCATACGTATAGTTTTGAGTACGTGGTTATCTTTAATTTTGGATAAAATTTCAGGTCTGGGTTGCTTATAAAGAATCGAGCTTAATTGGTGCTGCGTTTTGGATAATTTTGCTGATCTGTTTCGGAAGGTAATCTCTCAAGTCTCTGTTTTATCTACACTTGATAAATTCTTGTTTCAATGGTTTTCGCTATTTAATTTTCAACATGATGTTTGCTTTAATAGCTATCTTCCGACAAGAACATGCATTTTGTGAAGATTTCTTGTGTAGTGGAGTTAGATTCTTGCCTATTTAGAGGAGTTAAGGGATCGTTGTTCACATTAGTTGCTCCATCTACTATACCAGTTTCCCTTAACGCCAAACTTTTTATGGCCCTTTTAATTCGTTGATTCGAATTTTTAATTCGAGTTGAGATGTGACTTTATATGAAAATTTTTCACAAAGTTAGATATGACTGTTTCTAAGAGTTTTTTACTGTAATAAAACTCAAATTCTAAACTCGAATTGGTAAAATGAATGGGACCTATATGTTCGCGTTTCACCATATGAATTCACAGCACCGGTGCCGGGATTTACACTCCCGGCACCATAGAAGTTCTCATCTTCTGACAAAAATCTGAAAGGCTACATTTTGAAATCATGGCTACATTTCTGTTATGATGTTCTTCACGGTCTGTTAGTTTTGATAAATTCTTGGGATAGGAAGCTGCAATTGGTATTAAAGCTATAGGTGAGATTGACTTGTGATAACATGATTATCGTGAAATTGCATGATATAGATCTTTAAGGACCAGGTTCGGTGTTGCATGATATAGAAATTGCCTAAAGTCTCTTTTTCTCTCCTGGCCACAATATCGTTGGCGGTGATAATTCACTTAAAGAAGGTGCTTCTTTACAAATTCTTGTTTCCCATCAAACAAGTCTTTTTCAGAACTAATGAGCAAGATGAACACGATGGAAAAAGCTCGATAAATGTAGTGAGAGAGTGGGGGTAACAAGGTCTTTTAGATTGGTTCGACCATTAATGAGACCTACATCGACCGGTTACTATTTATCATTAATAATGAAAGAATACAAATCCGTCTATTTTTTCCCGTCGTAAAACTCTCCAAACTGCCCCCAAAATGTCCTTAACTCAGCATGAGAGTGTACTTAGAACACTTCCCAAAACTGATTTTAGATTAAATGAAAGCGAACACCATAATTCTAAAGGCTACTTAGGAGACTCTGCAGGTGGTGTTCTGCACAATGCCATGAATTTAAGTTGTTTGGACATTCTCCATGTCAGAGACTCTCAAGAGTCCCAAAATAGGGAAATGCTAGGTGGGAAACTGTTAGATACCAAAAGTCTCACATGGAATGATTACAAGACATAGTGTGGTTTATAAGTCCTTAGGTTTCATTCCCTTGCAAGTCGGTTTTGCAGGATGAGTTCTATTTAATGGGTTTGTAACAAAAACATCTCGCATTACCTTCTTCGGTTGCACCAGAACCTCCGGTTCCCTGGGGTTGATTCTCGCTCATCACCCCAGGCTCTTGCAGATATGTGCTTCTCGCGTGGTTTGGCTTATTTTAAGCTTGCATAACGCTTGACATTGTTAGTTTACCAATCCATTCTAAAAACTTAAACTGTTAGGAAGTGGGTCAATAATAATTTTATATTTTAACACTCTCCCTCACATGTGGGCATTAGAAAGCCCAATACGTGAATATTTAAGCCCGATATATATTAAAGACCCAACACATTATGAGAATTTAAATGGGGATAAAAAGTGCAATTACAGGGTTTAAACTCAAGACCTCTTGCTCTGATACTATGTTAGTTTACCAATCTATCTTAAAAGCTTAAACTGTTAGGAACTTAATTTTTGGTGCCACAAAATCTTTTAACTCAGTGAAGCTCACTTTCTCGACTGGAGATCCGAGCAATTCCTTTCTTAGTTTATTTACTTTTCTTCTAGGCTATAGTTTATTGCTCTGTTTGTCTCTTCCTTTTTTTTTTTTTTCCTCTTGATTTTTGCAAGTACACACGTACACACAGAGGCCATGAACTTGTTTTTTTTTTTTTTTTTTTTTTTTTTATA